AATTGCCTCTTTTGACACTTGAATCTAAAAGAAAGTAATTAACTTCTTTACGTACTTTTGAATCGAAATTCCTGTTACAGATAACCAGGGTCAAATGGCGGGCGCCGTCGACTTGTAACTACCTGCACTAAAAGTTAAACAATGATTTTAATAGAATTCTCTAGATCAGAAGTTGATCCAAGCTCTCAAAATGGTACATTGATATTTCCTCATTTGCAGTCACATTTGCTTAGTCAAAACATAGAACTCTCAAGAGCATAATCTACCCGTTAGAGAAAAACGTATTCGGATCAAGCAGTATTTTGACATGAGGTAAACGTCGTGTAGACCTAGCGATCTCTTTCTAACCTATGACTTTTTCTTTTTTTTTCTTTTTTAATGTGTAGGCCTCGTTTTACCTTGAAGGAAAGTTTGGGTAGGGTTGCGCCGCCGAGGCCTTCAATTTAAACTAACATCATGGAATTTAATTGTTGGTACCGCACATGTAACTCTACTGGTTTTATTAGATCTTAGTGCGGCATTTGATACTGTGGATCACAATGTTTTACTCAGTCGGCTTCACTCAAAATTTGGTATATCTGGAACGGCACTGGAATGGTTCCGTTCCTACCTTAATGGAAGATCTCAGAGTGTTATGGTCCAAGGAAATTTATCTCAGAGTTTGAATTTGGACTTCTGAGTACCGCAGGGCTCTCGCCTCGGTCCATTGCTTTTCACGATTTATGCAAGCAGATTGTTTGATGTTATCAAGGTGCACCTTCCCACAGTTCACTGCTACGCTGACGACACGCAGTTGTGTGTGTCTTTCAGTCCAAACATAAGCACCGGGCAATTTGAGGCTGTCACTGCTATACAGCACTGTGTGGATGATATACGTAATTGGAAGACCAATGATAAACTATTTCTCAATGACGATAAAACAGAATTCCTAATGATTGGTACCAAGCAACAACTAGCCAAAGTTAATATTGATCATATTTTAATTGGAGACTGTGTAATTAGACCAAAAGGGGTAGTTAAGAACTTAGGGACATGGTTAGACTAACACTTGTTCCAATGCTTTTTATTACTTGTATAATATAAGAAGAATTAGGAAATATCTTTCCAGGCGGTCCACTGAGACGCTCATTGACGCATTTGTCTCAAGTCGTGTCGACTATTGTAACAGCTTGCTCTATGGCCTGCCAGCTTACCAGCTTAATAAGCTACGGAGGGTCCAAAATGCTGCCGCTAGGTTAATTTTCCTGGAATCTAAATATTGCCCGTGTAAGACCGTTGCTGTATAATCTGCACTGGCTGCCGGTTAAATTCCGAATTGACTTTAAGATATTATTGTTAACGTATAAGGCTATCAATGGCGTATCGCCTTTTTATCTCCAGGAACTTATTAGTGTTAAAAAAGCCATGTAAATACAAGTTACGCTCCGATTGTGATGGACTGCTACTAAACCCTTTGAAATTCAAGACTTTAACAACGTTAGGAGATCGATCTTTTACTGCTGCTGCTCCTCAGCTATGGAATTCATTGCCCTATTCAATTAGGAGTAGCCCCTCAGTAGCATCTTTTAAAAAGACACTCAAGACATTTTTATTTTAGAAAGCTTTTTTGTGATTTTTTACCATCTAAGTAGTCTAGGTAATTTTTATAGTTTTAGTGTTGACATAATTGTTTTACTCTTTTTGGTAGGTTCATGACTTTTTGCATGTATACTTTATGCAGTCTTAGTATTTTTTTTTTAAATATTTTTATTTTCAAGCGCTGATGAAAATAGCAATATCGATATCGGCGCTATATAAGCCTTCACACTTTCCAAGCCACACCATGTTAAAGGCGCTAAACAGAGAAATTTTCAGGACCCGTTTAGCCAGATATCCACAACCTGTTCAGCGGGACATACCCGTCGAAGCCGAAATTAGCCCTGTAAATGAGGCTAGCATGGAAAAGTAAAAGGGCCCTTCCTCCTTCCTTCCCACCATTGTTGGTTTTCACATGACGTCACTAAAATTCAAACTAAAAAACTATCGATCCTACCAAGATTCTACTTTCACGATGCATTAGAACAGCTGAAAACTAATTTTCAAACAAATTTTCACTTCAAGTACGCTTGAATTTCTAAGCTATTGCGTGACGCGACATTTGCATGACGGCTAAGAGAGCTGTCATGTAGGTTAAAAAAATGACTTATTTTGCTATTTAGACGGTTCATGTATTAAAAAAAGAATTACTTTAATGTTTATGAGTTTCTCAAAGAGTAAATCTACGCTTTTGTAGCAAAACTCGGTAACAGATGTTTCTGTTGGTTTCCGTCCGCCATGTTGGAGCTCATCTAGGCCCGGTATGACCAATCGATAAAAACCGATATCGGAAAACCGTTCGATAAATCGATATCAATCGATAATTTTTAATTAATCGATATCGATTTTATCGATCAATCGATAGAAATCGATACTCACAGTCTTCCGCGTATTTAACGATATCGATTTTATCGAGTAATCGATGTTAACGGAGTATCAAAAACCATACAAAATAAAACTGCTTCTATGTGGACAGCGTTTTAATTTAATATAAAACAATGAACAGAAACATTAAGCAACCAAGGATTTATTTCATTCAGTCAACACATTAACTTCATTCTTTGTTTTTTCTTTTGTTTCTTTGGTTCTGGAACCATGTTTTAACCTAAAAGGAAAAAAAAAAAGAAACCAAATTTATATGTTTATTGCATGCAACCGTATCCCGGTTAATCATTTTGACTCTTATATTCCCGGTATATTCTCGCAAGGTCTCTCGATGATTTTACTTTATATCTCCAGGAAAAAGCTATCTTAAATTCACTTACTTGGTGTTGCTCTAAGTCAAAGTTCTCGGCCAACTTTTCCATTAGCTGTGCCGTCGGACGGCATTTACAAACATGTTTTCTGAGCTTCTTAATGTTGAGTTCCTTTCAAATTTATATCAGTTATTTTTGTTTCATTACCTCTCTTCTGCTTTAGTTGCGGAGTTCATCATTTACTCCGTTTTACTTATTTATAGAATGATTTTAGCTCTGATTTGTAGTATGATTTTTGCGGCGGCGAGGGTTTTGCTGACAAAACATTTACTGGAGACAATGTCTAGCATTACAACTACGCAGCTTCGTACTTCGTAGTACATGTATTTGTAGGATGTCATTACGACATTTAGCTTGAACAGTTTCTGAGTAAATACAAAAAGCGGTTATGTTATGTTGCGTTTCCCCGTTGAATCATGCCAGGGAATCGTGTTAATATTATTTGATTATCAGTATTCATTCAATTATCGATTTGTTAAATAAATCTTTAAATTCGTCCTACTTGATTCATTGAATCGTAAGAGTGTTTTTATGGAAGATTTGATACATTTTAGAAATTCGATAAAATCGATAACATTAATTTAAAAATCGATAATTATCGATTACTCACAACGTGTCCTTTTATCGATTTTAATCGATTTCCGATACAATTTACTAATTTTTATCGATTGTTATCGAATGTTATCGATTATCGGTTTTATCGATTGCACATGCCGGGTCTAGGTGAGCACCAGCATGGCGTCTCCATAGAAATCTCTACAAGTTTGGGTGAAACATTTCTTCGGATATCCCGTATACGAAATATTCCTCTGCCCTGAATCTTGGCGAGGGTCTTTGTATATGTACCTCTTTCGTTTCTCAGATTGTGGACTTTATTTACTGAATGGTTTTGATTTTTATTTTGATGTATTTTGAATGACGTGACACTGAAACCAGCAATAGTCCCTACGCTCTTCCCCTCCCCTCTTGGGCACTTCTGCACTTGGGTCCTCTCCTTTTGGTATTTTTGTTAGTTGAAATGCGATCGATTGATCAATCCTTATTCCGAAAAACAAAAATTGAAAATTGATCACGACATTCAATTTTGAATTTTCTTCAAAATTCACGTCATTGTAATTGACATATGACTGCAGAAACGGTTTTCCCGCGGAATACCTAAAGTATCCATAGTTCGATAATCTTTTTAATATCGACTGTAGAAAATAAGAGCTGTGTGCTTATTTTCTCATATTTGTTTATAGGGGAAAACGGTAAAAAAAGTTATGAAACATGTTTATCGATTACACAGGAACAGGAGGAAGAAAAAATTGGAAAATCAAAAATTTACATCGATTTGCAATTTTTGTTTTTTAATTGAAAGTTAAATGGACGAATGACCCACGGACCTTTTCCATCACACTGCAGTAGAACATAAAATAAACATGGCGTTACAAAAATTCGCACCTGGTGCAACTCACTATTGCAAATTCAAACACACAGCGCTATGTGAAAACGCTTTGCACTACGACAACAAAACCACCATCAACAAGCAAATTTTATGTAGATTTCAAAAAATTTTTTTTCAAAAATCAAAAAATTGAAACACACCTTCTATCGTCAGATATTTTGCGTCTTGTCAGGTAGATCTTTGAGCTGAAACACTCCCGTTTTCAGCCGTTTTACCTCTAGAGAACACGCAAACCTCATCGGTTGCCATTTTTTCACACTCTTGAGCTTCCTCATCATTCAAAGGCGCAGCTCCTAGGGTACTATGGGAAAAGGTCATTTCTAGGCGTAGCAAAGAGCTGAAAAGTGACCCTAGATCGTGTCCCTTGGTGCGGGCGCCATGTTGAAAATTTGGGTGACGTCATCATATATCCAGTTCTGATTGTGGCCCGGACTGATAATTAGAACCGGCTCCTCAGTGATAGAAAAATATGGTCGCTTGACTGATACGAAATTTCTCTTCTCGTGTTGAAGAGAAATTTCATATCTCCGCACGACCATGTAATATCCGCTACTTATTTTTTGCCGTTCTCCTTGCCGTCGCCGTCGTCGTTGGTTTTGTTGTGCTCCCATGGTAACGTGACGTCACACCCCCTCTACGAGGAGTGGCTCTGGGGACCAGTCCCGCTCGATCCATCCCATGATGCATCTCACTCACAGCGACATGATCCGCTTGAGTACAGTATGCACCCGATTTTGATTTTGTTTTTTGCTTTTAAAGAAGAAGGAAAGGCTATTGAAAAACGGAGGAAGTCAAACCAATGGTAAGTCCAAATGCTGTTAGTATCTAGGTCATTTATAAATGATGTTTAATATGCAAAATCTTTGCCTTCCGACGTTGACAATGCAAAGTCAAATTCTAGGCTTTTTGAGAGCTTTTGAAGATTGCTCGGCTATCTTTACTTCGGCTATTTTTCGCTGTTGAAATGTCGACAGATGCTTCGTCCGCATGCACTGTTTTAGCAGTAAAATTTTTGTCTTATGCAAGTACAGTAGAAACCCGGTAACTTGAAGTCTGAAGGCAAACAAAAAACAGTTAATAGCGAGGGTTCGAGTTACGGTCAGTGCAAAAGGAAGACTGCGGACTGCAGACTGCAGACTGCGGACCAGGGGTAAAATGCAGAGAGAGTGTAAAATGAAGACTGCAGACTGAGAGTAAAACGCAGGCTGGGTGCAAAATGCAGAATGAAGACTGTACTCCTTCTTCTTCAAATAGGTAGCTCGTAATCAGTTACACACCTCGCTTCGTAGTCGAAGTACATTACACATTCTCGCCAAAAGTTCAATGAACATCCAAACAGCTAAAGTCTGCGCACCTTGATTTTCAATCCTTTCATAGAAGGTCATCGAAATTTCCCGCAGAACATCTTCCTTTGTTGTTGGAATGATTTACTCCCTTTTTTAGCGCCATAATTCTTTTGAATTCTTTCTGTACATTATTTTGGGTCAGCAGCTTTTATTTAAGCGTAAACATCGTTGTGTTGTACCAATTCACGGTCACCTGTATCGAAAGTTGAAGCGTGAGGTCTCTCGAACGGAAAAAAGGTTAAAGATTGCTAGTATGTTTTCGCGTCGTCGGCGACGTTCCAGAGCGAGGAAGGAATGGATTTGTGAAAAGAGTCAAGTAAGTGTAAGTGGTGTTGTTTATGATGTATTTGCGGGATTGTTTTGCACTTAAACCCTTCCGCGACTACAGTTTACGCTCAGTCTGCATTTTACCCCAACCTGCGTTTTACTCTTAGTCTGCAGTCTGCATTTTGCCTCTGGTCCGCAGTCTGCGTTTTACACTGACCAGTTCGAGTTATCGGGGTCGATTGCAAAATTGTGACCTTTCACGCGAAAACGTGCTATAACGGCTTTCCGTTTTCGAACGGAATTCCGTTTAGAACCCGTTTGAAAGCCGTTTGAAAGAAATTTGCATTCGTTCGAACGACCTGGGTCATCCGTTCAAAAAAATTTGCATCCGTTCGAACGGCTTGATCACCCGTTCGACAGAAACGTCCAGCCGTTCGAATGACTTGCTCACCCGTTTGGTAAAAGCATCCATCCGTTCGAACGACTTGCTCACCCGTTCGATAAAAACGTCCAAACGTTCAAACGACTTACTCACCCGTTTGCTAAAAACATCCAACCGTTTGAACGACTTGCTCACCCGTTCGCTGGAACATCCATCCGTTCAAACGACTTGAGTATGAGACAGTCATACGAGCGGTTGTCTTTTCCTGTTCGCGTACTCGCGTAATTTCTTTAAAAACTTCTCGCAAAGTTATTATTACAGGCTTAGAGCTCTTGCAGAAAATATATTTTGCGCTTCTAAACATACGGTAATCAGTCGCCTATAGAAGCGAACTTCTTAAATTCTACTCTGTGTTACAATGCGGTTGGAAAGAACAACTTCCTTCGAAAACTGTTCACAACACTGGCCGCCTTTCGAGCCACGAGAGCACCCGCATCCTTCTTGTAGAAATTTTGTCACTTTAGCTATGATTTCTTCGCTTTTGAGCACGTCAAGCAGATCGCATTCAGCCATGATGAAGGTTTTCGCTGTAAAGAAGAGTTCCTGCGAGAGAGTAGTTATGACAACGCGTCCGACTGTCAACGTGATTGATGCGATTGGCTGGTGTTGTGTTACCTGTCACTGTTGTGTAACTTGTATGCAAATTTATCAAGATCGGTGTCGTGACACGCAATCGAACTGAACTGACGGGAATGCGTTTGAGTCGTAGTCAAATTAAAGGTCAGCATAGCATACAATTTGAAAATGTATCGGGAACTGTTAGAAACAAAAAGTTGGGTATTTGTTTTGTAAGAAAGCTAGAAAAAACATCACCGCAAATACTTAGCAAGTTTGCATTCGCCGTTGATTTTCTTTCGAGTTCCGCTTCAGCAAACTCAGTTACGAATGTTCTCTGCGTTTCAAGTTTACTTTCTTTGGCTTTCAGTGGTGAAATAAACAGGAGCAGTTTCAACGATTGAAAGCCATCCGTTCGAAATTAATTTTAAGTGAGATGTGTAGCGGCACGGCACCATTCGAAATAAACAAATTACAATCATCACGTTTGTAAGCCGTTCGTGACTGCTCGTTCGAAGATTTCATGAGCCGTTCGAACGTTTAGATCGCTCGTTCCGAATTTTTTTATGAGCCGTTCGAATGGTTTGGTTACCCGTTCGGACTTTTTTATGAGCCGTTCGAACGGTTTGGTTACCCGTTCGGAATTTTTTATGAGCCGTTCGAACGGTTTGGTTACCCGTTCGGAATGTTCTACGACCCGTTCGAACGGTTAGGCTACCCGTTCGCAATTTTCCCCGAGCCGTTCGAACGGCTAAGCTACCCGTTCGGAATACTTAATCACCCGTTCGAACACTCATTGAAACCCGTTTAAAACGGCTTGGTGACCCGTTTGTAACCCGTTCGATGGCCGTTCATTTCACCCGTTTAACGGAAAGTCGTTATAGTACGTTTTCGCGTGAAAGGTCACAATTGGTAGTTGCTGATTTTCTCAGTACTTAGCTTAAGCTTATTTAGTGCAGTGCGAATTTCATCAGAAACGGTAAAATGATAAACCGTACTTTTTAGTGATAAAACGTGATCTGGACGTGTTGACTAGTGTTATTTTTAGTGTTACCCTTGACTTGTAGGAACTAATGCAGGGCTTGAAATAATAGGGGTAGCGAATGGTACGTCGAAAAACGTGGGTCTCGGAAAATTTTGTCAGGATCTCGAAATCTCGGAAGCGTTTATGATAAGACTCGAAGTCTGGTTTTTTGATGTTTTGTTTTTACTTTTTTGAGTCTCGAAACTTTTTACCAAAGAGTCTCGGGCTCGGATTTCTAACTAGGATCTCGGCGTCTCGGCGAGTCTCGGATTTTACCATTCACTCACACACACACTCACTTGGTCGCCCGAAGGCGGGCAACCACCAGATCTTTCCACAGCCTCTTATCAGCCATCAGTACAGCAATCACACTTGCTTCGAATGCCCCAGTATCCCTCTTACCATTCGATTTTACCATTCGCCACCCCTAATAATAGGGAATTTAGGATAGTTCACTGGGGCCATGACAGTTAGAAGGCGCAAAATTTTTCAATTTTAGATCGGACAACAAAACAGAGGACATCATGATGTACGAAACTCGCTTGTAATTTCTTTTGCAGAAGGCTCAATAAATTACTGAAGAAGAGTTTCTTATTTTATAGGAAGAATACGAATCAGAAGAATAAGGGTGCAAATTAAAGCTAGCTAGTGTTCAAAACTAGTCAATGCTTTTATTTGAACTTTCCTTTCCTAAGCCAACACCTTTTGAGTTAAAGAAATCTTTTCTTGATAAAAATGCAGTTTTAAGTTTAAAAAAAAGACAGCTACAATTATCACTGGTAGGTCCACTTAAAAAGTCAAACTTCTCATGTGCCGAATTACTAAAATATATTTTCACTTGTTTAACCCATTCGCCCCTGAACCGCCCGTAACCGCCCGTGCGGATCCAGGTCCTTTCTACCCTTTGTGACGTCATCAGTTTTAACGGTCAAGGACAACTTTCTTCGCTAACTTGTGCAGAGTGAAGAGATCTTTCAAACCATACCAGAATGAGCACAATTCAGTCAAGGACACCGGAGAAAGAAGTAAAAAACCACATGACAAGGACCTGAAAATCTCCATGAAAATCTTGTTCCATTAGCCACCTACCTTTCCTTTCACCTAATCCTAAGATCCTAAAAGCTTTCCTAAAAACTCTTCCCACCAAAATGAAGCCTACTAAATGGCCAGCAAGAGAAAAAAAAAATGAGGCAAGAAAGGCGAAAAAAGAAGGGAGGAGACAAAGCGAAAAGTAAAAGTCAAGACTGCTGTGTCACTTTTAAACCCAAAAACTATCTAGAAATTTTGCTTTCTGCGCATGCCCGAACTTCGCAAGCTGATATTTTGCATCTGGAGCAGAAGGCCGCCAAGTGTACGACCTGTAAACCGCTTTGTGGTAAGTTTTAGCTCTTTATAGCACGACAGTGACCAGAAAACCACTCGACTAGCTTCAAAACGCGTTTTTCGGCAAAATCTCCAGGAGCGAATGGGTGCTTTTAGGATCTTAGGATTAGGTGAAAGGAAAGGTAGGTGGGTAATGGAGCAAGATTTTCATGGAGATTTTCAGGTCAATGTCACGAGGTTTTTTGCTTGTTTCTCCAGTGTCCTTGACTGAATTGTGCTCATTCTGGTATGATTTGAAAGATTTCTTCACTCTGCACAAGTTAGCGAAGAAAGTTGTCCTTGACCGTTAAAACTAATGATGTCACAAAGGATAGAAAGTACCTGGATCCGCACAGGCGGTTACGGGCGGTTCAGGGGCGAATGGGTTAAAGGATTCTAGACCACTGAACATCGTGAAATTGATTTAGTTCAACTAATTAAGTTTGACGTCTGAATCAACCTCAAACTTGTATCATTTGGGTCGACCTAAATAGGTATTAAGTTCGGTACATGCAAAGATCGACGTTTGAGTTGGGCGTAACCTTTCTTTTCAGCAATTTTCCTCTACCATGGCGGACGACACTAGGTAGAAAACAAGCAGTCGCCATGCGGCCGCGAGCTAAGTTATGAATGAACTCAAACATTTTCGCTTTTTTTTTTTCATTTCACTGATAGGTAAATCAATGTAAACACAACCAAATGCATATTTGTGACCTTATTTAGGAAAAGGGGGATTAAGGTGAATAACAAAAAAACGTGTTTTAACACGTTTATGTTATAAACGTGTTTAAACACCGTTAAAACGTATTTAAACAACGTTTAAACACACAAAAAACGCGTGCGCAAGATTTTTATGTCGAAAGAGCTTTACACAAACGACGCGTTTAAACGCTGTTAATTTACCTCGAATGAGGGCATAATTACACGTACACTTGTTTCATTATTGGGTGTCATCCGGGGTTACTCTGATTTATTTGAAGCAATGCAGCTCGACAAACCATCGAAAACTTAATTGGGTTGTTCCAGAAAAAATCCACACCCCCCCGACGGATGGGATTCTGGAATTTCTCGCGGCAGGGGGCAAACGTTTAGTTCGATGACACTTAAGCGCTTTCAGACCCTGGAAATAGTCAAAATGTTTTGTTCATATATTTCTCACCTGACATAAATGATAATCTAAGTTGCTTTTACACGTCCTTTTATAGCAGAAAACGCGAACAAGATACTAAAGAACGGGCCTGAAGGAACTCGTCGCAACGTTGTTGTCACGAAGAGCGTCAAACGCCTGACACATTTCTACTGTACCCAGAGCCCAGCAGGCCAAGAGCGATTTTTATAAGCTAAGAAATTATGTAAACACTCGTTCAGGTGTCGTTCGCATTTTTGTTTTTTGCTCCTTTCGTTTTTAGTTCCACGCGATAGAATTCTTAGTTTAATATAAGCTGAAGCTTTAGAAATTAAAACAAAAACATTTAGACCTGTTTGCGTGTATTTTCCATTAAAAATAAATTAAATTTAAGCCTTTTATTTTTTCCCGGAAATCCAGGCGGGAGGGGGGGTCTTCCACCTTGGAAATCCAGTTGGGAGGGGGGGTCTTGTGCTTCAGGAAATCCAGGTGAGAGGGGGGGTTAAAAAAGGACCCCATCCGTCGGGGGGGTGTGGATTTTTTCTGGAATAACCCATTCAACGACTCGGAACGGAGAAGAAATGCCGGATCGAAAGTCCAACCAAATATGGCGGAGTTCTTTGAGGAAGAAAACAAAACACTAAATACTCGGTGACTCAGTACGTAAATCATGAGCATAAACTTCAACTTCAACAGCGCTGTTGTAGCGGTGCAGAAAATTCCCGAATCACGATCTGGGCTGCAAAGTGGCTTCGAAAAGACAAAATGTTGTTACCGGTAATGGCCTACCACTTGTCAGTACAAAAAAAAAAAAGAATTGCAGACTTCAATAATACAATAATCATGAGACATGGTGGAGGAGTCGACAAGGCCTTAGAAACGGTGTAAAAACCACTAGAAAGTCAAAATGCAACTGATACTTTTAATCCACGCGTACACGTTACAAAAGCACGTGACATAACAAATCTGCAACAGTCTCGCTTTGTAAATATTCAGCAATCACAGTCACTCTTCTAAATGTAAGAACATCATTAACGTGCAGACAATGAAGTTTATCTTTTTTAGAAATGAAGAGAATAAGAGCGATTGTGCTACATAACGTTTGCACGGACACAAGCCAAATGATTTTTGATTCGTTGCAACCGCGTAAGCTTGACATCGCTCACCTTGACGTTTTGTCCATGATCCACGATCTGCTACACTTATTCATGAAAGAAATCAACCCAATTTTACTTTGGTCGTCGTTAAATTTTACAATGGACTAAGGAATGTACATTATCATGAACGTTTTAATCTTGTAAGTGCATGCGTACCCCAGCTAAGTTTCTTGTATCTGTGTTGCTTGCTCTGGTTCGATTCGTCGGTACTTTATAGCGTAGAATTCACTGTACAGTGCCGTTGTTTACAAATACGTTTGAGCTGTTTCATCCAAAAATATCAACAGAACTTCCATCTCGACACAGAACTAGATGCAAAAAACTTACAATGTATGAATGTTTGCGCCCTACATTCAACGGTGGCACATGTTTGTCTAGATATGTAATGGGATCTCATGCAAAGGTGCCGACCAATTAGAGTACAGCCTAGGATGTCTCAAGGGAATTAGCGATAACATTCCCACACTCTTCAGTCACGCAATGAATATTATTGAAATCTTGATTCAGAACACATAGAATTTGGAGGTTTATTCAATAAGCGATCTTCCCTGCGCACAAGCTTACTCACATTTCTTAGAGGTACAGTCAAAGTTTTCTTGTTATAAAAGTGGGCGAAAAGCTGATATTTTCTGTTCTTACGGGGCGGGCGTCACGACATCGTGACCAGTGACCCTGAATGTATTCATGTTATTCGAACGATAACATAAAACATGACGAACGCTTGCGGCATTATTTCTTCGATTCTGCTTCGCTTCTGATCTGGCGACATGCTTTTGTCGCCAAAAATTCCGAAGCGGAAAAACCAAGGAGTCGAATGTGAAAGTTTTAAAGAGTATAAAAAGATTAAAACAAGCTTGAGAAAAAGGATTGACCAGCCTGTTGGTGAAGCCCGATATGCTGATAGAAACATTTTGAAACGTCGTTAGGTAGTTTGCATTTCTTTGAGCAATATTGTTGGCTATTGTATTCAACATGAAAACTACAGAATCCGTAGGCTCAATTCGACTGCTTGCTCCATCCTTAGGAAGACTCGAAAACCGCATCTTCTTTCCTGCGTGTGCTAATTGTTTGGTTGCTGCGGTTGATAGCACGACATTCTTGCAGTACAAGTGGGCTAAAGTTGGTGTGCATGAGGCGCTCACAGCAAAAACGATATTATAGACGGAATGTGATTATTAGCTGCAATACAATTTTTTAGCCACCTGCTATGTAGAAAGGAAAGGCAAAAGGTAAGCTGCCAGTGAATTGATCATTTTGACACAGTGAGTTGGAAGACATGCACCCTAATCTTCACGTTTCATATAATAGAACACTGGTAATTTATTCATTCAAATACAACTAAATTAGCTTACTTTCCAGCATACGAAATGCAATATTGAAGTGCAACAGAGCCGGTTGTTTAAACGCATTAAAAATCTGTTTAAACGCATACAAAATGCGTTTCCACGCTTTTCAACGAAGCCGATTAAACGCGTTAGAACGTTGTTTTCTAAATTCACCTTAATCCCCCGTTTCCCAAATAGGGTCACATTTAACCCATTGGCCAGGTCACTACGGTCGCCTGGGACAGTTGGATAGATGTCACGTCGTGCAAAACATGCGTGACCTTTTACCGTCGTCCTTCTGGGACGGTGTGTTTTCACAGGGTTTCTCCTCATGAAGACAATGATGAAACTGTCATAAGAGTTCAGTGCACACTTATTGTCACTTTTCTTCTAAAACTGAGTAGGTACTGTATCTTAAAGTCCCTAATTTCCCGGCTGGCACCAGTCAAGTTGTCCGGTCAAACCTATTTTTGCTCAGACACAACCCGTTTTTGGCCAGACAAATGTCTCTTATCTAGGATTATCTGATTGCACTTACAGTAAAATACATGCGGACTATTATAAAACAATACTTTACAACACTACACACACTACTCCTGAATTTGCCTTGAAGACTTTATAGGGGACAAAGCAAAAAGTTTTTTACTCACAACTCCCAGAAAATGAAAAGCCACTGTTTTCGCCCTGCCATGCAGGGCTTCTGAAATTTTGCACAGCTTCAGAGCTGTGAAATTCAGGTAAATCCGTGAAATCCTATGAAATTCGGTAGAAATCTTACCAAATACATATTAGTTCAACATATTTGAGATTTATCGCGGCTAATGGGGCTGTTTTGCCACAAACTTGCAAATTTATCTGAAACTTTGTAACTGCAACAAGAAAACGTCCCAAAACTATAGGGTGTTCTTAGATTATTACTGCAAAAAGCTGGGCTCTGGCCAGTGCATGATATAAAAAGCTTTGCCATTGGCGCATTTCTGAACCCATTGTTGTTAAAACAACAAATGATAATCTCTGATTAAAAGATTACCTTGTGCAAGACAATACCAAGTCCAAGTGAGATCGCAAAGCAAGCGGGGGTTTTGAGCACAAAATCACCGGTTTAATGAAAGGCAACATTTTATTTTGATTTATATGTAGTTGATGTTTCTGTTGCAGTTGTTATTGCACAGGCTAACGTTCATCATTCCCCCCCTCCCCCCCCAAAAAAAAAAATTGGCAAAATTGCCGTTTTGTTTCATTAGAAACGTTCGTGAAATCAGCGCAAAACCAATTGCTTTCAAGCGAAATTGGCTTGAAAATTTCTGCAAAATTGGGTTTTTTTAACAATTGTTTTTGGCGAAATTTGTCCCGAATTTTTCCACCAAATTCCCGCGAAATCGGCCGTTTTTTCTGCGAATTCATCTCTGAAAATCCCACAAAATTTGGCTTTTTTTCCACGACATATCAGAGGCCCTGTGTTATGAATGGTTTACATTATAAAAGTTCTTGATCTGGTGGCCTTTTTCTCTCTCTCCTCCCACTTTCGAGTTTCAAGTTATCTGAGTTTGAGAAACTGGGTACTACTGCAGAATATTCTTCATGTGCCAAGAGGGAAGATAATTATTAGATATCAATTGATTAATTAATTTGTTGATTATCGATGTACAATAAACACTTTTGTGATCAATTATTGATCACAAAAGTGTTTTATGATTATCAATTTTCATGGGAATCGATAAATTGATACATTTACCTTTCAATGAATTTCATCATGGGGTCATTGTTTTGTCCAGCACCATCAATTTCAACAAAATAATTTATGTCACAAAGCTTACTGAGACATGATTTTTTTTTTTTAAATTGAAGTTTGTGTTATTATCAATTATTGGTCCTCGATTGGTAGAAGCCAGTCAACTGCAATTAACAGCAAATAAAATAATTATGTATAACATGCAGTTGGAAGAGAAATTCTGACTGTGCAAATGTTATATTGAGAGGTCATAAGCGGTTTTTGTTGACAGACATCACTTTTGACGCATAATAACCATTTAGTAAAGGTTTCAGTTTGTTTTGTTTTCTCCAAAATGCCCAGACCTGAATACATGTAACTGCATGAAGTTGTTATATCCATGAATTTTGTCACTCTACAGATGTAGGCCCAGATCCAGGTTGTTCAGATAAAACTGCTGGATATTTTGGGAAACTTGCCTATCCATTGGATCAGATTTAAATCACTGTCCACCTTTTAAGGTATCTGCACAGCAAATTTTGCACATTTTTGCATCATTTTTAGTGGTTGTTTTTTGGATAATATCTATATGTCATCCATTGACAGTATGAGGAACTAGAATATATCAAAATAAACTATGTTATGTCACCCAAAACGTGTTAATTCAATTACCCCCTAGGGTGACACGGAAAGAGAAAAATCAAAATTTCAGAAGAATCCTTAGAGTTATTGTTAAAAAGGAAATGTAACACAAATAAGGACGTAAGATAGAATAATTCTGTGTTCGACCACGACACAGCTCCAATTAATCCAGCCTCTAGGGCACAATTTGCTATTTTGTAATTTGACCCATATTTTGACATCAATAACTCAGCTGTACAGCAATTCTAACCTTTAGTCAAACACAGATCTGTTCATTAACATGCTCTTTGTGTATTTGCCAAATTTCACGAAGAATTAATGATCCATTCCTCCAAAAAACTGGTTCCCGTAAGTCAAGGTAAATCGGTCACGCGGTAATTAACGCTTTTCCAGTGTGAAAAAGCTTATTTTCTTCTCAAAATCAACTGTTTTTCCTCAATACTACCATCACAGACCTTCTTGCCCGCCATTTTGAATCACCGCTGTGTGAAATGCTCGTGGAAGCCTAAGAAAATGCCAAATGACCTCTCCATAGCCCCCTTGGATTTTGATACGTGACCAGTTGCTAGGTGTGACGCATTTCCGGAAGATGCGTTACTCAGTGTCAGCTTTAACGCAGTGAAGCGCGCCGAAGTATGAAGATTGAAGAAGAGGTTTATTCAAAATTGAAAAGAATTGCTTCTGTAAAGTGAAAGAAATTGGCAGAAAAACAGACCAGAGGATTAGGGGCCAAGAAAACGTTTTACTCTCCCGGCAAAATTGTCAGAATATATCAGGTGAGAAGACACACCGATGTAATGTAAATTTAAAACAATAATAAGCCCTGGAAAACGGAGTATATTTCAAGAACATAACAAATTTTGACAAGAAGCAAGTAATATTAGTCATCACAGCTTTAACAGAAGGAAGAAAAATCAAGTTGGACATACAGCGGCTGTAGTTTGTCAATGAATCCAAGCAGTGAATAGATTTTGTTCAGCGCATCAATAGAACTTGATGCTGGAAAGAGGAGTCAAATTGCGCTCCTGCCGTCCTTTTTCTTAGTAACGGAAATGAAAATTTTTCTTTAACTTCCGGTAAATCAGTCAACTTTTGAGTAGATTTTCTCTTAAATGCGAAGGTATATTCAAAAAAGAACACCAGATATGCATATTACATCATCTGAACTTACTGTAGAAAGATTTTGAGGGCAAAATAAAATGTTGAAAATTTGCCTGTGCAAATACCTTAAACAACTGGGGCTATCTCTTTAGTGTAGTTTGAAGGATTTTGAATTCTCGTGGATAGTTATTTTACTGATCCAAATCCAATTGAAACAATTGTAGCTTAAACTAAAGTTATGTGGATGATAGAAAATTGCACTGTGACTCATTCCAGGCCCCAGTTGTTCAAAAGGTGGATAGCACTATCCACTGGAAAACGCAATTAGTTTTTGTAATACTTATCCATTGGATAATGATTTATCTGGTGGATAGCGCTATCCAACGTTTGAACAGTGGGGCTTAGATTGTTATTTCTTACTGATTCTGTCCATTTTGTTCTTCTGTAAACATTAATGTTGTATAATAGACTGGAGTATGACATTAAATACTAGGTGAATTCTCGTTAATTGGTGATTAGATACTTTTAGACTACATGTAGGTTAACATTTGTCTAGTGACTGTTCTCTGTCAAATGCCACTTTTTTATTACCCCAGCCATGGTGCAGCCCTATATGTATCTCCCTACTGCATGACATGCAGTGAGTGTTGTTTGTGACAAAAAGAAATGGCAATACAAAGCCAATTATTTCTGACAATTGTTGAGATCCAGAATCTGAACTTTTTTTAACAAGTATAGTCCAAAATTCAGGTCCCAAAAATGGAGGAAATGGTAATCCACTTCAATTGCAGGATCTTCAAATCTGCTAGAATTTTGCTCTGAATCCAAAATCTGGGCAAAAATCCTTTCAAAATGTGATCTGGTGGCCCATTCTCCCCTCTCAGTAAGTAAGCTACTAAAATTGAGTGGAAGAGGGTTCTCAATAGAAACCGGCACCCAGTGATTGATCACTGCCTACTTTGGAATTTGTACATGTAACTGCTTACACCATGTATTTTGCATTCTATTTGCTGCTTTTCCCATCCTAGTTTACAGCCCATCCGTTTGTCACTGCCACCTACTTAAGGTTGGGCAGATGCCTACTTCAAATCCTATTGAGAACCCTGCTGGAACATTATTGTTTTTATGTGTTACGTTTGCCAAGTACAGTGTATATACACTTGTTAATCGTAAGAATTTAACATAAGCAGTGATCAGAACTCACTAACAGCAGTATTTAAATACACTCCCTTGGATCTGTTCAATAGGCCATTTCTGAATTCTGAAAAACTCTCACTTTCAAAACAAGGATAAGTGCAAAACCTTTGTTGTGAAATTGAGACTTATTTGTGTGATAATGAAAAGAATTCCATATCAATGTCTTCGCACTTAGCATTCCTTTGAAACAAAGGGCTGAGGCAACTTGGAAATGGCCTATTACTTAAGACCTTACTAGTTTGTTGACATGTCAATTTTGGTGTGATAAGTGCAACAGAGTCATGCTGTTAAACACCACAGCTGTGACGATATCAGCGTAGAGGTACAGCGTAGCTTAAAAATACTTTAATAGTTGTTGCCGTTAAATTTTTTAACCGTTTTTTTTTTTTTTTTCGGTCTTATTACCATAGTCTGAGGCAAAGGGAAATAATTCTAAATACAATATAAGAATTTTCAATCAGAGATAAATTTGAATCACAACATAATATCTCACCATCATGTTAAAATAATTTTTTTTTTAGCTGGGTCTCTGGAAGGGCCCCTGATGGTAGAATCCAGCATTACATGCTGAAGATAAGAAGCTGATCTGGCTGAGAAAAGCGCCGACAATCAGTGTGGCAGAATTGTTCAAGATGATCAAGCTGCTGGCTTATTCTCAGTTCATGGACGGGTTGTCACAAGACCTCTACAAAAGCAGCTTAATAGCACTAAATCAGTGAGACAGCGTTGATGATGCATGTCTTGTTCAAAGTGATGTCAAGGATTGTGGAGAGGAATGGAGTAATATTTAGCTGAAAGAATGAACAACATAACCTATCAACCCTCACTCTACTTTACCATCTTTAATGTACTTAATTTGCTCTTTGAATGTGGCCATTCTTAGTGACATATCATTCTTTTTGTTATGAAAAAAACACTTGACTAAGACACCCGGAAGTTTTTAGATTTATACTGTAACTGCATTCAGTGACAAAATTGTTGAGACATCGTACTCAAATAGGGTAACTACAGCGAACAAAAGAATCCACACCCCTCCCCCATCCCCTCCATTCAAAGTTGGGGTGTTTTTTGTTTTCTGTAGGTAGCTCGAACAGTAGCTCAACATTGCGTGGAGGGGATGGGGGAGGAAAAGCTTTATTTTCTCCTTTGTAAGTCAGTAAAAGTGATGTTCAAAGCCCCTTTAGGGCAAAGTGTGTCGACTAATTTTGTTGCCAATTTTGGCCTCTGATTGCAATCCTTGTGTATTTTATTTCAAGGATTCTGACAACTATCTACTGATTCTCCCTGATTTAATCAGCACATTTTTTCAACTGTAGAAGTTTGCACATATGTTGTATGAATAAAAAGGCAAAATTTTGAATGTCATCAATATTACACTGGTGTATCTATGACTACAAACTATTTTTAAAAAAGGATGAATGATTTCAAAATTATTTGTTGACGAAGACAGGAAGAATGCAAGATTAACATGATCTTTACTACTGTAACTCCTCTGTTGAGCTTTTCCTCTCAAGTAAGTCCCTCTCTCTTATAAGCCTCACTATGCTGGGAAGGAAAGTAAATAAGCTCCCCCCCCCCCCACTTCTTGCAGTTAAGCTTTTTCACTTTGTGGTGCTCTAGCTCTTTAAGGCAAACTGATACAAAGTCAAATAAGCACCGACCCCTTTCTCAAATAGCACCCCCCCCCCCCCCCTTTCCTCAATCAAATGTGTTAAAAATAAATAAGCACCTGGGGGATTTAATAAAGGAGTTGTGGGATTGATATTGTAAAAAAAAGAAACAGACAAAATGAATGAAAAAAAGAAGCCCCACTGTATAGGCATCTGTCAGATATTACAGAAAAAACATTTTGCATAGAACACATATCTAGCTACTTTTGCAGCCTAACTATGCATGGATGCTGTCATTATTGTCAAACAAAGACCAAAAGGCTAAAACAATGGGAGAACTTCAAATTTAACACATTTTTTTGCTTTATTTTTGCTTTTTCATTTCATTGTATATCTGGCACCAAAATTGATGGTCCTCTCAAACATATTTAGGAGGCCCAAATGAGACAGGTGTCAAGGGAGTTCAGCCTGCAAAACACTCCTCCACAAAGAATTTGGCCAATTTTGGACACATTTGTTTTATTGAAACATTTGTAATTTACATCTATGTGATGCATAATGACAAGTGCAACAATTTATAATTGACAGCTACAGCACTGCATAACAGTCTGATGGCTATGCTGCTTACAGGATAAAATTTTCACAGATTGGGCCAGGAAAATCTCTTTTCTTTTGTTAGCGGTTCCTACAGTTTTAAGTTTTTCAAACTATATTATGGAATACATTTTATCTATTTTTTACTGTAAATGAAGCCTCAGTGAAATACAGCTATGCATGTAAATTCAGGTTCTTTGCTTCTACCTTCTTAAAAAAAACACCCCTTCTCTTTTTACTTAACAATATATTTTAAAGTGAAATGTTAATGTTAGAGACTTGAAATGTACAGTCTCTGTTGGCTTTCCTGCCTAACAGCTATTCTTGGTTTCAGATCAGTTCATAGCAAACGAAACTACCTTTACGGACCTCTTGTCGAAACACTTCATAATTGAGTTTATATTTTTCTGTTATTGGTTCCAGAGAAGTTGCCAATACAACAGTCCCAATACCTGCAACCTTCACTAAAGGTGTGCATTCATGACATGGCATTTTGGTCACAAATAAAGTACTTCCTGAGATGTCTGCAATGTTACACCTGAGAAGTGCATTTTGTTCTGCATGAACAAAGAAAGGATACTTGTTGTCCCTTTCAAGATCAGAGGAATCATGAAACTCTTCTTCAATTTTCTGAGAAGGAAAATCATTCCAACCTATAGCTACTACATCGTCTCCCTTCAAGATTACACATCCTACTCCAGTTTTTGGCTCAACGGTGGCTTGAATAGTCATCGATGCTAATCCAAGCAGGTGCTTTGCTATCTGCTCCTGGTATAGATTATTTTCAGGATCAAATGATCCAAGTTCTCTCTCTCCAGTGAAGTCATAACCAGAACACCTTAACTTAGAACAAGTTAATGAGATATGGATTTGGGCCATCCACTTGACAAGATTTTCAAACTGACTGTAGGTTTGTTCAGTGGATTCACATATTAAATGTCTCACGCGTTCCTTACTCCAGAATCTTCTTAAAACATTCTCCGTGTACTCTTGAGTGTCACTAAAAGGTATTCCTTTAGTAAATGACTGTTGTTGTTCCTCGGTTGGTGTTACTGTTCCTGAATAACCCTTCATTTGAGGCACAAGAACGGTTTGAGTGATTCCACAAGCATTAAGCAAGGTATCTACCCGCCTTTCTTCTTTTTCATTGTAAAACTCGGTTTCAGCTGGCGAATATGTGATGGAAGTTACCCCAGACTTCGCTAACAGCTTAGAACAATACGGACATGGCTTCCGGGATATGTACACACTGCAACCCACAGTTTTGTCATGATGTTTGACAAGCAAACGAGCTACTCCATGGACGCCTTCACGACTACGATCAACTGCAACAATGTACCCCTTTTGATGAACAAGAACGCAACCAATTTTTCTGTACGAGTTTGATGATTGATCGACTGTTTTAGGCGAATCAGATTCAGGGTGAGGTGCAGGTTCAGGAAACATTTCCATACACATTGCCATTGTTAAAAAAAGAGATTCCCTGCAGATTCCAATGTTTACTCGCCTCTCTAATCTACTCTTTTTATTATCGCTGGTGACTGCACCGTTGCCGTCACTGGAAGGCGTTTTCAAAGCATTTTTATCCTCCTTCAAATTCCGCTGCGTGTTGTCCGCCATTTTTGGGTCGATAGTCGGGAGTACCTGGGCACTTGTCCCCAAGCTCTCTCTTTTTTCGGCGACACGCTCCTTTTACTGAGTGGTAGCTGGAGGAGGCTTTTGGGTGGAGTTTTTGTTACTTGGTGTTTTGCTAAGTAAGAATTACAGCCGCGCGAAAAACTAACTGAGGTCGAAACAGAAAACGATGGGGGAGAGGGCGAGTGAATAGCCGTTTCTCCTCGCTCCGGGGCGAAGAGCCAGGAGAAACGGCTGTTTTCGCATGCTAGAGGGCGGTAGGAGAAGGCAGTGATTCGTCCTCGGTTAAAAAAGCTTTGCCAAACTGCCGATGAAAAGTGTCCGATAAAAGCTCACTGTGCAGTTCAACGTCCTATTGACCTATTATCCCCATAAAGATCACACTCACCTGGGCCAGCCGCAATAACAATCACTGACCCCCAACAAATAATGATCACTCACCTCGCACTTTCCACATGACCTCACAGCGGTCCTATTGGTGTTCCCAAACGATGAAACGTACTCACTACAATTTTTAAACACAGAAACCAAGAGAGAATAATCTAAATTTATTCTCTCTTGCATAATCCGAGACCACGCTTGAGTAATTGACCTCGCAGGTTTCTACTGTAAATACCGTCGGTTGCATCCGAAGGGTACGTGGACACGCACGGGCCGCCCAAGCTCAGTGTGAGCGTTTAATCATTAATGCATTTGGTTTCATATTCTTGAATCGCTTTATACCTGAATCCTCATACAAATCCTTTATGTTCACGGCCATTTTAAGGATTATGCAATCAGAAGCCACGTGTATTAATGATTAAACTCTCCCACTAAGATTGGGCCGCCCGTAATCGAAGATTTGCCAGTGGCTACTTGTAACATCTCGGCTTCTTTCTCGTCAGTACAGGCGTGAGGAAAATTTAGGTGACACTTACAGACTGGCTGGATCTTTGGAAATGTAGCGCATAATTTTCAGCTATCATAAGTGCTGGCGTCTATGGAGTTAGCCAATGACATGAGCATATGCAAAATGTTTGCGTGAGTCGAAGTTAAACGCAATAATCAACGTCTTCCTTCGCATTACGTCGGAAAAAACACCGAACAAACAACGAGCCGCCATAACATAGAAAATGGCTATGAATGAGCCCAGTTACTCAACAAACCAGGTAAGTGTACTTCTACAGTTATGCCTTTATTTCTACGTTTTGACAACAGTTTTAAATTTCTCAGCAAAGTCTATATATGACTAATAAACTATGCAAGGAGGAGCAAGGATTAGAGCAGCCTTCTGTACGGGAGGTCCCAAGTTTGATTCCCAGGTGTGGCATCAAATCCTTCTTTCGACTTTTTCCGTGTAGTTTTATTTAATAGCTTATGACTATCTCGAGCTAGAGACGTAAATTAAGGACTATTTACCTTTTATGTAATATGCAAAACAGTATCGAATTTTTGATATTGTTATAGACCAGCAAGATTAGAAAAGCGTGAGGAGTCGGGGAACGATTGTAACACACGTGTGTAGGCAAGCAAAATTAGCTCAGTCGGTAGAGTGCTTGACTGCAGAGCGGGAGGTCGCGGGTTCGATTCTCGGTACCGGAGCAACACTGGGGGTCTTAAAATGACTGAGAAATGAAGGTACTTCCTTTGCCCTGCAAGTGGCTAGACCTTCGCGTGGCTCGGATGACCACGTAAAATGGCGGTCCCGTCTCCAGTAAGAGACGTAAATGTGTCCTCAATTAGTCGTGCTAAATACATTGACCCTCACAGAAAGTGCATTTTTTTAGGACACGCAATGTTTGTTCCTGTTGGTTTTGTTCTGAAATACATGTTAAGTCTGTTAGCTACCGTAAAATTCCAAAAATAAGTCCATTCATGTATAAGCCCCTCCAAATATAAGCCCCCCAAACTCGCACGCAAAAAACCCTCCGTTAAATCGCCCCTCCGAAAATATGCTCCCCCCAGGGGGGCTTATACCTGGAAATTGCCCTCGAATATAAAGCAAAAACGGTGATTTCCTTCCAAATATAAGGCTAGCCCAATCGATTTTGAAACTCAAATTTCCCTCCGTAGATAAGCCTGTCCAAAAATAAGCCTCTCAAAAAGGGCCTTTGAAAAATTTAAGCCCCGGGGCTTATTTTCGGAATGTTACGGTATGCAACTTGTATGCATGTCACGCAACACAAAATCATGCAGTAATTTATGCACCTATTCTGGGCTACCTGTGGGAGATACCCCTGTTCTCGCAGGCTACTGTAGGTAAATGTAAGCATAATTTAATTGAGAACAATAGCATAGAAACATAATTCCCCTGAGAACAATGTTATATGGCGTACACTGGAAAAAACAAATCACAGAGGAGATTTCAATCATATATCTAGAAAAATGATAGGTACATAAACAAAGCAGCAGTTACTTCAAGTAGCTTCACTTCACCACAGGAGACTTTGGCACCTTTATTTGGAACTGGCCATTTAGGAGGATTTTCTGAGACTGCCAGTGTCTTAGTCCGAGCACATGATTTATCAGAGCATGACGCCAATGACTTGACCCAGACGTTGTAGCCATCTACTTGCAAGGGAAGCTTTCCTTCCTCTACAGCTGAAGTAAACTCGGAGAGGGTGTGGTTAAAGTTGACTGACGGGGTTGAAGTTGTGACGATGCCGAGAGCTTTACTGTCCACCAAGACTATGATAACGTCTACGTCATCGCTGCTACCAAAGCCGCCCTGGATATAAGCAACCCAGCTCATTACAAACGTGTTCCACTTCAAGATCCGAGCAATTGATGAACCGATTCCATCCGCAAATCGACTCCCTACGTCAGCTTCAGGAAGTGAAACGGAGGAACGCTCTCCTCGATTGAACTTTTTGACCGAAATCGTAATGAAGTTCATCATTCCACCGGCTACTCCGTGAAAACACCGCTGAATTTGGCTTTTTGCCGGGCAACTGTCTTCAATATTCCATAATCCTTTGATTGTCTCCCATGCTGTATCCAACCTTGGGAAGGATTCTCTGATGGTCCAGAAGACCCTCAAATAATCCTTGCAATTTAAATCGCAAATAGTTGTCATACTTAGATCAGGACTCAGGTAGCACGGCCGGTGAGTAGTAAATACACCCACTCGCATTTGATTACATGTCAATCCAATCCACGGGCGTAATATTGGGACCAAATGGACCAAGAGACAGCGTCGGACAGCATCCACCCATTTTTGTCCCTCTGGACTGAACAACTCTCTTCGCCGTTCATACAACTTGCAAAACTTCTCAGCGTATCGTATGGCGTAAGCGTTGCTTGTATCGTCACACTGCAGTTTTCTTTCTAAGCAGTCTTGGTACCAGTTACAATAGTTTCCAGGAGGGCTAGCGCACACTGGAGGTAGAGTGAATAAGAGGGTTTGTCCACGCGCACAGGAGCAGGCTGAGTTTACTGGTCCAGACCCTTTACTGTACACATCCAACATACACTGGGACCAGCAGTAATTTGCTGCGGAGGAATTGCAAGAGTGCTTACGTTCTTTCAGGTAGCTTTCTGGGAGGCATGTTGCCCACTGGTATTGGTCATAATTTGGTAACTTCAAGCAAACGGTATTTCCTGTGACCGGTCCTGATAATTTATTACATCTTTGAGTCCAAACATGCTCTATGAGGCAAAGCAAAAGGATATGAATCGCTACTGACCACATCTCAGTCCTGAAAACAAATAATCAAAAAAAATTTAAAAAAAGGTTAGAATTTAACTTTTGATTCTTTGTTCCTGGAGATTAAAAAGCCGTTTCGTTATAACGCCAGCGCTTTCGCTGATTAAAAATAAGTTTTCTACACGACACTTATAAACGCATCCCGGAGGAAAAAGTTGAGAATTCGAAAGCGTTACTAAAAGGGACAAAGAAGAATGAAATCACGCTTTTTATCTTTTGCAAGGTACCCCTACAGGTAGCCCAAGCTTGAAATATGAGCATCGGCGAGCATCGGCATTGTTGCTTAACATTCAAAATATAAGGATTTGTATGGGAAAAAAACCTATCGTTTCTGTGTGGTCTACGGGCCGATTTATGGCCGTTTTGTATAGGTTTTTTCCCCATACAAATCCTTGTATTTTGAATCTTACGCAACAATGCCCATGCTCGTCGTTGCTCATATTTCGAGCTTGAGCTACCTGTGGTACCCCCAAACCAAAAATTTTTGCAGCAAGAAGTAATGCGATTACTGTGTAGTTTCTTAGTTTAACAATTCAGTGTTCGGTTCTTCGTGTTTAGATAGTGTTCAAAATGCAGGAGAGATTTTCAGTTGAACTCAAATGCCAGGGTATAATATAGATATATTAAATAAAGTATTTCCTTGTGTACTATGTATTTGTGATTTTACGTCAATTTACAATTTCATCCCTGTTTTGAGAAAGTTCATCCGGTCATTAACTAAGTCCTCTCATCGTAAAATCACTGACAGTAATTGTCCGGAATGACGGTGCATGATCTCAACATCACAACTCAAGAAAAACATGAAAACTGAAACGTCAGAAGAATTGTACGAACTGAAATCAACAAAAAGAATTCAGTAAGTGATATAAAGAAGCTGTGTGTATTTCTCAACCAAAGCAGGACAGAAGTTTGCATGCAGTAGGTAGAAAGAACACTTTACGGACTGATAACGAAAGTTTATACTGCCGAGTCCTTTTTGGTGTTCACGTGAGTTTGTTACGAAAAATTCATAATATACTGGTTGTACGTGTATCGCACAATCTCTCGTAGCTCGGGGGAGGATTCCCGCAAATTGTTAGTGATGTATATTAAAGGTGACTCGGTTACTCTTGACTGTTGAAGCTTGTACTCGATTTTGCCAATTTGATCTGTATGGCGAGAAAAAAACTTAATATGGATATTATTCGAAGTCACTGATGATGTTGTAATAAATCTAAATCACCCGGCCCTCAGTGCTAAATCAGCTCCGATGATAAGTTCGGTTGGTTCTGTAATCCAACTGACGCAATGAAATCCTGCGCTCAAAACATAATTATTGATTCTTCAACAATTCCGATGGAATTCCGCTTCGTGGAACTCAAAACCCATCTGAGTCCTCAACGCTGTGAATAACGACTTTTGCTATAAAATATATAAAATTTGAAAACGGTGAGCCGCACGGGCCTGAAGACAGTGGCATCCGCATAGTCTTACGTTGAAAAACTTAGACCTTTTTCATTCAGGAACTTCCGAACGTCACTGAACATATACCTTCAGAACACTGTTATAGTGAGAGAGTATACTACACTGACTTGACCTCAAAAAGATCAGCGACTCTTTCTGCTTAGAAAAAAATTAAGGAAAACCTTACCTACTTGGAGCTTTCCTTTTCCCAAAGAAGAACTTAATGAATTTATAGTGGTTGAAGCAACTTCCAACTGATGGGCCTGTGGAATCACTGACGATAAGAGCTGGTTATATAAAGAATTAAGGTGTAATCAATTTTCCTGTTTATTTAATTATTCGGAAAGTAGAAGCCTGATATTGGTCCACATAGATTTAATTGTCTTCGTGTTTGTCTTGCATTTAAGAGCCAGCGGTCTGTGTGGCATTTTCATACAGATCCTGGCATAGAGAGACTGATTATTCCATTACGTTCATCAGCCGAAAAAGTGTCGCATCGTTTCAACTTAAATTTTTAAACCACATCTGATTTGCGACTCGCAAGGCAGATGGCAGAGCTCCTAAAAAGACTGAAGATTAATCGTGTGTAGCGAGGCATTAAGCGCTATTCGAAGTCTAACCATATTAAAACAAATGAGGGGCGTGAATTCTTGGGGAATGGCAAAGAGTTCTAAGAGCGAACCGATCGAAGGACGAAAACACGACCATTGAAAGAGAATACGATTAAGAATTTTTTTAAGAGCAACTTTTTTTGTACATGTTTTGGGTACTTTAATAACTATATCGAACTATACCGTTACACTCTGACGACAGCAGCTCAAAATAGGCCATTGCGGAAAATACCATCATCCTTAAATTGCCGTTCTGGTAAGTGCTTCATGTAAGGCCTCAAATGTAGCAAATGACCCTAAATGTAATAAAGGTCCTATAAGTGTAATACGTTTTGGCCGTAAATGTAATGAAGGTCCTATGTGCAACAAACGTTTGGCCCTAAATGTAGTCAATAAAAGTCGCAACAGTAGTAGTAGAATAATAGTACAGTCAGGATAATGTCGTAGCCAGGCGATTCACTTTCTTCGCCATATTGAAATCTTATTTAACAATTATTCCACGAGTGCTGGTTGGATTTGAGATGATGGATAAAGCGCCTTGTCGGCTGCAATCATCTCATATCCAACAAGCGCGAGTGGAATAACTGTTTTATTAAAAACGCCCACAAAATATCGAGAATTTTGCCCAACTGTATTTGTAAAAAAAAAAAAAGTTTTTCCGACGAAGCTTGTTTTTAATTTTGAGGAGACGCGTACAGTTGCCATGTTTGGAGATCGTGGTATAATGGCTCATATACTATGATCGCTAAGCCAGTCAGAGCTCTAGAATTGCATTATCCAATGATTCAGTTTTAAATAAAGATATTTACCATTTTCACATTTCCCATAATGCACCTTGTTTACTTTTCAATATTTTGCATAACCATAATGTTTTCAGTTTTTCTAGGGTACTCAGGTTTTCCAAGGGAAACTGAAAACAAGGCTTAGGCATAAAATTTGTGCGGTAAACAAGGTATAGTATTCTTTATTACTATGTGAATATGGTGGATTAAAAGGAAAGCAGCAAACAAGAAATCGTTAAATGATCATATGATGGTATTGGTAAAATTTTTCTGAAACCAAATCGGAGTTCTAACAGGGGCACCCAACGACAATTTTCGGAAAATATCTGTTCGGAAGACGATTTGACACCTAGAATTTTCGGAACATTTGTTGTAAAATTCTTGCTTGCCTGCCTCTCCTTAGCCTCCCACGCAGGCGTTTTTAGGGGAGCTCGTATTTCTTCCCTCCCCACAAACGCCTGCTCAACGGAAAACAACATTCCTTTCCCAAGCTTAGCCAATCACATTGTACTTTCCAAATTCTGGAAAGTTGACCTTGACCGCAAGGTAATATGATAATTACTCGATCTGCATTAAACACTGGGAAAGCTTTCTGACCTGCAATAAATGTTAGATTCAGAGCGGCAAAAATAAGTTTTAGTCAAAATTCAGAATACTCCGTGCACTGCATAACCTTAGCGAAGGAAAGAAAAGAAGGAAAACGGTAACTCTAAGGTCACGTTCAGTCGTGTTTAGCCTGTCAACACTTCATTGCACAATTGTTGATTGGTCACCTACCACGCAAATAAAACAATGAGAAAGGAATGTTGTTTTCCGTTGAGCAGGCGTTTGTGGGGAGGGAAGAAATACGAGCTCCCCTAAAAACGCCTGCGTGGGAGGCTAGCCTCTCCTAAGATTTTCGAACATCTAAAAACTACTATTATTGCCCATTTTTAACGGATTTTTACTGTTAAAACGTCACCTAGAATTTTCGGGAGCCTTTCAGCTCTGGCTGAAATTTTCGAAAAGGTAAGTTTTGATCCCTATAATTTTCGGATCACTAGACTTTCAGCTAGGAAATCCGAACAGATGAAAAATTTTTAGGGGATAAAAATATGCCTATATCTACTGTTTAAATACTAAAATAAGTTTAACAATGCTATGTTTAAGTGGTTTTGAACTATATTCTCGCTGGGTGCCCCTGTTCTAAACAAACCCAGCGGTGCCTGGCCTTGTTAAATCCCAGCCTGATAATAGGAAAAGGAAAACTAATTACTCAAGAAGTAGCAAGAAACACTCTACTATGTCTCGTCTTTATTCTCGTATTTGTGCAAGTCAAACACCGAGTAGATCTGTTGGATCTTGGAAAGCATTGAAGGATACGGTAAATTTCAGATCAAGGAATTGTTTATCAATATGTATTGTCCGTTATGAATGTTTTCAGTGGGTTCATTTGTCTTAGAACTGTTAAAAGTAAAAACAGAAAAGCAGTTGTGGCTGAGTTAAAGGCTTACTGACATAGAAGGGTGGAGTTTAAGTCAAGATGCACTACACCTGTGCAGTAAGAAGTGTTATTTATTTAATTCTGCATCGATAGATCTGAAGCTATCTCGTCGATAGAGATAGAGTTCCTGCTCCATTAAGTACTTATGACTTTTTAATATTAACACAATAATAGTCAGTAAAATTATATACCGTGCATGGTGCAAATGAATAAATACAATGCAATAAACTCCATAAAAACAATTGCCTCGCAGAACCTCACGAAGCTCCAGGGAAAGGGCTAACCGAAGAGAAGGATCAAAACAAAAGGGATATAAAAAAAAAGGGGGGGAGAGGGGGCATCACCTGTACTCGAGCGGAAGCATGCTGTCAGGCCGCGCAAACCCGCCATACTTAATTTGGATCAGAAGGTACTTGATCCCTCGATTGAAAAACAATTTCAAAGGCCAAAAAAACCTTTACATGTAAGAGGACTCGTGGAAAAGATCGATTAACTGATTAACCACCCCTTCAGCCCTTGCTTGACGAGGAAAAAGGATGCCCAATCCTGTGATTAAAATACCATTAACTATAACACTGAGAGGAAGTCGACAAGAAGCTTGTCAGAAGTAAAATAAAAACACTAAAAATAATGTTACAAGCAGGGGTTTTTCATGTCTTGAGGGAGGATCCTCACCCTTCAAGGGAAGATTATCAGACCAGATGGAAGAAGTTTTAGCTTGCATACAACTATCCTGTAATTTTAACCATCAAAATTGCGCACACAACTTGGACCCCTTATAAAATAATTAGTGGATTTATTCCTTGCTTTTGAGAGGTTAGAGTGCATGGTTGGGTAGGGTGGAGGAGGGCAATTTCAGCAGGGTTTAACTATTTACTGTAAGGACTGTTCAATAATTCTTCTAGCGGTCAATCTTTCTCTTTATCAATTAAGAAGAGAACTTACTATTCATAACGATTCTTTTATGAGAAGACGATTGCCACAAGTAATAATCTCAAAACGGTCGGTATTTTTTGTTTGTTTGTTTGTTTTTCTTCCATGCAATTAAACTGATGCAAAGCATTCCCCGCTCCACCCCACTCTGGTCAACTCCGCCCCACACAATTACCAATTCAATTCACTTTACAATTCTTTCTTTACATTCTGTAAAACTTAGCAACTAAAATTAGCTTCAGATGAAACTTGTGCCTTCAGGTATCAGTCAAGTTTTGTTTGTGTTAGCGGACGGTAGCCATATTTGGTTTGTTTTTTCTTTGACCACAGCATGTATGTCATCCCAGTCACACATATCGCGCTGGTCAAGGCCATAGCAATGATTAAAGTCGGATTGCTCTCATCACCTGTAACACGAAATTATAATTAGTGTAAATAGTGTTTCTAACATTTTAATTTTTACTTTTAAGGCCAATTCTAGAATTCGTCACATTCCGGCTTGCAAGAGCATGAGAATGGGGGACATAAGTTGATTCAAAGGAAACTGCTGCTTATACAATCAGTGAAAGGTTCCGGCAATTCTGCTTTTTTACAAAAAGATCAACTTTGCTACTTGAAAAGAGCAGAAAAATTAACTTTCTGCATTTATTCTTTATAGAACAACATGCAAAATTGTTACCTTTTTTGTTAATGCTAGTCGATCAGGTGAAAAGATAAAAAAAGGTACCTTTTTAGAAAAAAAAGGCGGGTATTTTAAGCTTTCGGGTGAAAATATTTTAACGTCAATATTGTCCGCTTTTCATCCATTTCTCACTTTACCAAACAAAACTTTAAAGCGCAAAAAAGGTACCTTTTTTTCAGTTTGAAGCGATCTCTTCAAAAGCGCGAAAAAGGTACCTTTTTTGCGGTTTAGAAACGTTCCTATCAAAAGAGCAAAAAAGGTACCTTTTTGGGGGTTGGAAGCGATGTTCTCATAAGTGCGAAAAAGGAACCTTAAAAATAAATGGCGTTTGCAAACTATATTTGAAAGCCGTTTCAAATCCTGCTGATTGACAGATGTCAACCGTTTGGCGCCATTTGTTTTGCTTGAATTGACTGACCCACTGGTCAAGAGACAAATATGGCGGAATATATGGAAAGCAATGTTACTTTAATAAGGAATCTCATTGAAGACAATAAAACGTACAAACATGTCAGTGAAATTCTCAACCAAAAATTTCCAGAAGTAACAAGAGGCTTTTCAGAAAGAAACGTGCGATTGTTTTGTGCTAAATATGGGATAAGACGCCTGACCGAATACGAAGTGGATTCCATCGTTCAGAAGTGAAAAAAGGCACCCACAAAACAAAACAGTTATTATGATAACCCGCTCAGTTTAGACTTAAAAGGAAAAAACACTTCTCTGCTGTTTGTCGTAGATCGACGTAGAATCTGATATATTTTTTTTCGCAGATTAAAATGGTTCGACTTTTCATATAGGACTTTTTTTAAGTCTTCGCTCAACGCTTAAAAATGGGCCGGCTTGCTTAGGTCCTCCACATGCATCTAGTTTGAAAGAACCAGTAGCTATATATTTCATCCATTTGGATGGTAGCCAGTATTTTCCGATCTCTTCAGTCTAGTTTCTCAATTTTGATCGGCTAAAAGGAGCCGGCTATTTTTTTTAGTACGATGATTCCTCATAGTGACCCTCGTCCACGTACGTAACTCGGAAAATATGCCAATAATGCAGGACGCTATACTTATAATATTGCGCGTCCGAGCTATTTCTGTTAAATAGCCGGGGCCACTGAGGAATAGCCTCCCATACAGTCAAGATGGGTTTTGCTCGTTTTAATTAGATTCAGGACTGCGAAATTCGATTGTAGAAACGGGACATAGAGTCCCCTAAAAACGTCTGTGTATCGTTCGTTAGGGGCGCCAACGGTTGCTTGACATCTGTCAATCAGTAGGATTTTAATTGAAACATCATTTATTTTTAAAGGTACCTTTTTCGCACTTTTGATGAGATTGCTTGTAACCGCAAAAAAGGTGCCTTTTTGCTCTTTTGATAGGAACGTTTCTAAACCGCAAAAAAGGTACCTTTTTCGCGCTTTAAAGTTTTGTTTGGTAAAGTGAGAAATGGATGAAAAGCGGACAATATTGACGTTAAAATATTTTCACCCCAAAGCTTAAAATACTCGCCTTTTTTTTCTAAAAAGGTACCTTTTTTATCTTTTCACCTGGTCGACTAGCATTAACAAAAAAGGTAACAATTTTGCATGTTGTTCTATAAAAAATAAATACAGAAAGTTAATTTTTCTGCTCTTTTCAAGTAGCAAAGTTGATCTTTTTGTAAAAAAGCAGAATTGCCGGAACCTTTCACTGATTTTATACGAACTGGGCTAATACATCTTCGTAAGGTGTTTCGCGAGGGATTCATAAGTCTCATAAACGGAATAGAAAAGTGTTTCGAAACAATCTACCAGTGCTGATCAAAATGCGTTTTCCAGTAACTTGCTTTGTTTATTTTTTTCCAATCGTCGAAACGTCATAATGTAAAAGAATCATTGAATTGAATTTGAATCTGAATTTGAGGTCATTTCAACACATTTGGAACAAAGGCTTGAGACAAGCTTATAACCGAGCGTACCATCTTGTTGATTACAGGCACATGGGCCTATAACTGGGGGCCCCAATAGGTTATGAACTGCAATTTACGGTAGTTGATTATTAATGGTTTACCTTTGATATCCTTCTTGAGTAAGTCGTCTGTAGAATCCTGAACATCCCTTACTTGTTCTTCTTCATCTTTCCTCATAAAAGGTCCATGAGACACACTGTACTCCTCATCTCTCCCAAGGTTGGTCCACAGCGATCTCTTACGTCGCTGCTGTAGGCATCCCTGTGCGCAGCGTGACTGGGGATCTGTTGCGTTACAAATCTTGACTCTGCAATGCATGAAGACAAACTGATGATCGCCAAGGAAACTGAAGGCTTCGATGCTGAAATGCTGAGTCCGTTTGTCTTCTGTTGAAATGAAAGTGACAGTATCGTCTTGCTTGCATCTGCAAGAAATGTCAGAAAATTTCAGAATACTTGTTAGAGACGATAGGGGACCGGAATAGGAGACGATGTCTGCCGAACCACATTGAATGAACCACTCTTTTTGTATTTAGGTTTCCTTTCGGTTCGCAAAAAAACTAACTCATGCATACTTAAAAGGGATGGGAGATTTTGAATGCAAAAGCTGAGAAAAGACCGGCATCTCACACCGCGTTAATCTTGGATGACTGTGAGCAAACGGAAGACGTCAGGTATAATTCTTCTAACTGGCTTAATTATGCAAGTGGTTCCTGCTTTACGAAAAACGGCAAATGAACAATGCATACTTCTTTGTTAAAATGGTAGTCACTCTGATAGTAAGGGAGAAGTGCCGTTATCACACAGAGTTGATTTAAGCTTATAAACTGGCGGTAGCACAATTTTATAATAGGGTAAGATCACAAGTCGTTCTAAATGTCCCACCCAAGAGACAGCTTTAATTGTCCTTACACTACTTTACGCGCGGTACTGTAGCGTGTAATTGTTCTCCGTGTCAAAAACACTTAGTATAAGCCAGTTCCTGCTACGTAAGTTAATAAGTAAATTAGTGAAAGTGAAGAATGATCATCGCAGTAAATTTTCCAATTTAAGCAATTGGAAAGAAGAAGCCTGGAAAAAAAAAATCAGGGCTTCAACGGGATCCCGTGACCTCCGCGTTACCGGTGCGTTGCTCTACCAACTGAGCTATGAAGCAACATATTGGGAGTGAGGTCAATTTATTGAGTTCATATCTCCCGTGAGGAGTGAAATGATGTGAAGTATATATGAAATAATTCATTTTTGAACTGCGGTTGTAGATGAAAGTTCTTCTTTCCAGTTGCTTAAATTGGAAAATTTACTGCGATGATCATTCTTCCCTTTCATCTACAACCGCTGTTCAAAAATGAATTATTTCACATATACTTCACATCAAGTAAATTAGTGTTAGAGATTTAACAAACCCATTCTTGATGAATGTGTATCTCAATCCAGGTTTATTCGGATTAGGATCTGGTGTAGCAAAGCACTCCTCTGCCAAAACTGCCAATCTGGTGTCTTTCGAGTCTACACTGACTTCAATAAACAAGACTTTCCTCAGAGGCACATATATGGGGAAATCTTCCTTCCTGTAAGGAAAGATAAACTTGTTGTTTGGAAATATTTTCATTTCCAACACGAATTTTCCAAAGCCTTTCTTAGAGAAGATGATCTTCTTGCTTTGAACTTTGAGGCCAACGGCGGAGACGACGCCCATGTTTGAGTAGTAACAGCTAAATGGTATTTCCACCTCACGCACCCGTGTGATAATCTGATTTGGCGCTACTGGGATTTCTAATACCGTGTTCATGTAGCAAACGAAATTTTTGGTGTGCCTTTTTCTTGTGTGGCAGTCGGTCAAATTTGTGTGTAGTATGAAGTGTGTTTTCGTCTCGGTGGCTGTACATTTTTCATCAGCAAGGCGAAGGTGTTCTCGATCAAGGCCGTGAAGAATGTATTTCGGAATGCTGATCCACATTTCATTCTTTCCACATTTGACATCAACTTCTTCTGTAAATAGTAAAGGAAAAGTTGCTGTAAAAAATTACGAAGAGAAGAGAGGCGAAGGAAGGCAAAAATCTCATTTTAGACAGTCATATATCTACGCATGAGCAAAATTCGCTATAACTGCGAGTTTTTCAGCCTTCCCTTCCTATTATTCGATCCGCGTGTGAGTCTGCAAGGGGCTTCCCTCGTATGAGCTAAAAAGTTGATTAACCGAAGACCCCAGCCTCCGGACGCTAAGTGCCAAATTTGGGATGATTTTCCCATTGCATATCCTAATGTTTGTTGGGCTAGGGTTAGTATGTAATAGATGAACCAGTTCGGCTGAACTCAGCCCTTCTTCTCGTTGACCTTTGATATGATTGGCAGACGAGGAAAAAGAAAACTGGTCATTACATCTATTTTATTACCTTGTTGAGGAGGCGTGTGAGGCTGAGAAGGTCTGACAGAGACTGTAACGGAGAAAAAATAATCACATTTCAGATATCTCAATAAAGACGTTGCTAGATAGGTAGCATCACACCAGTCACAGCACTATCGATCGTTTCTACTTTGTCCGCTTTCCGTTTCTCTTTGAGCCTCCCTACACATAACGGGAATTACACTTAAAATTAAAAAGATCTGTTTCAGCCCCAAAGTGTCAATTCAGCCCCACAGGCCAAAGTCTGATTCAGCCCCTCCTGAAGCCATTTGAGCACAATTGAAGCCAAGACAGGCCATTCGAAAGGTTATTCCAGCCCACGCTGGGCCCATTTCAGCCCTTGGGTCTAAATCAGCCCCAGGTACCTGGAATGTACTGGCCCTGATTATAAATGAGCCAAATGAGACTGAAAAATAGGACTGTATTTTATTTACAGAAACGGCCCCATTTTTAGGGCTGAAACAAATCTTTCTTGCATACAATGTATTATCTGAACTAAGGATGCTGTGAACAGCATCATATAATATCGAGAAAACTTTGTTTATTTTACCTTTCGTCGGTGGCGCTTTCGTAGACGTGGGCCCTAAGAAAATGACGGTAAAAAGAAAACTTTTAGAACTTCACAGTGAAAATTAAAGTGCTATTTTTTTTTCAGCAAAATAAAGTCTTCCCGATTCCTCCCTATGAAAAAAGGAACAACAAATGAAACAGAGTAACTTAAACATGTTAAAGGCTGCTTAGCAGCGGCGTTACTCCTTTTTAAAAGATACAAAATTCACTTGTCTTACCTTTCGCCGTCAAAGCGTTTTTGTAAAGTTTGACGGAGAAAAACAAAGCTTAGGACAGCGAGAAAATGCTTTTATTTTGAAAATCTTTTCCGCATATAACTGCCCTCCTTTTTCTCCCTTCGTCCCAACCCCCTACTCGTTTTAGCCTGTTTCAAGCGTTCAGATAGTGGAGAGCGGTGCGAAGTAAAGAAAGCGATAAAAAGTAGAGGGGGACTGTTCGCTTTTATTTTTTTCGCGCTCCTTTTCACTTCGCACCGCTCCCCACTATCTGAACGCCTGGAACAGGCACAGGCTAACTCGTTTCGACGCCTGCTACCCAGACTATATGAGACCGGAAGGAACTATAGACGAAACAGGTACCTCGGGTGAGAGGTAATTGACATCAGCTAACCCCGTTAAAGTTAAAAACACTTCTTATCTTACCTTCCGCCGTCGATGGCGTTTTTGTAGGCGTAGGCCGTAAAAATTGATGTAGTGAAAGAGAAAACTTGAGGTTAACAACGTAGAGTGCTACGCTTTTCGGCAAAATATCTTCCGGCAAATTCTACACCTTTGTCCTCTTCCTGGTAGAAGGCGATCAAATCACTTGCTTCCCTTTTACTGAATAATTATAATCTAACGGGTAAGGGACATTTTATATAAAGACGAATGAGTTACTTCGCCTAAAAAGATAATCGATTTTTGTACTGTTTTTGTTTCTCCTACAACAATTTACTTACCTTTTGTCGTTGGAACTTTTCTTATGTGTGGTGGCCCTGAAAATACAGAGCCAGGAAAAAACTTAATGAGCGTTTTTATTTCTTCTTTTGAAGTACTTGTAATGCAAAGAAAGATGAATATTAAGCATAAATCTATTGCTTTGTTAATTAGTTCTATGCTGAAAGAAAAACAATCATCAATGGGTCAACACTTCTCTAAATGCTTAGCAAGAAAAGTTTTTCGAGAAAGCACCATACTTGACAACTTGATTTTTAGCCTAAGAGCAGCCATTTTTGGCAAACGAAGCGAGCCGTAAGGGACACGTCCCCACCACCACCACCAAACTTTTGCATAACCTTTTTTTTTCCAGTGGGTGTTTCAGTCGCCCCAAGAGAAATTGAAGACAACGATTAGGCAAAATTTTAGGGGGCAAATGGCGAATGAGGAGTTTACTCGCAGGTTACTTGATTTTGTGCGATCCTTACCTTCTCCGTTGCCACAATAACGGTAACTACAGGAGACCTTTTTCCATGGGTTTCGCTTCAGCAAATAGAGGAAGAAATTCCCGGCACATTTGCGAACTTTGATTTGAATCTTCCTCTTGCAGCAGTCGTCCTTCCAGCGAAAGCAGACTGTTCTGTTTACTGCTCCTTCGTCCTCGTCTCGAGGATGAGATCCATTCAACCAGCCTGCAGCTCCACTGCTGCAGTGTTTCCCAGGAACACATCCCTCAGCCATTCTGCAACCTGCGTTCCCAGTAAAACGATACCACGCTTCCTTTTTAGCGAACTTGCTTCCATCGCACCTTTCACGGCCTGTAGCTAAATATCCAGCCGCGCGGTCCTTCTCAGACAGCTCGATGTATTCACCAGTTAAACAAGGGTTTTCTACGAGACAAACAATGCATTTTCTACCAAATATCATGTATATCACGCAAGACAACAAAACGAACTTCGAAGCCAGTGACACACGTTTGTACAGCAAACCACGGTCTGGCTACTACCAAACGCATGCGCACAGCTATATCACCCAGGAAGTGACAGCGGTATTAGGGCTCATAAGTATGGCATAGCCGTCAGACCAGACTGTAGGGTCAAAGCGGAGTTCAGAGGCCTTTTATTGCCAAGGAGAGTGCGAAGCAGGCACCAGTAAATGCCAGCTCCTCACAGCACAAGGTAACAGGCAAGGATTAGTTAATGCACTTAAATACCAAAAGTATATGTATTAGTCGTCATCACCAGTACCTTAGTGGACAACTCATGATCAACTCTTCATCCAGTCTGTGTGTTAAGAACCAGACATTTTTGTTCGCAAGCTCTCCTTCAATGCATACAGCTATTTTTAAAAGTGTGGGTTTAAAGTGATCATGTGGCAGAGGAGGCGGACTGATGTTTTGAAACTCAGCCACATTCCCCTACTCAGATTTTCCAAAATGCCCTTTGCGTCGTTTGTTGGCACAAGCAAATGTCTCTCCAATCTTCACAGTCAACCTCGTCCCCAGGTTTCTCTCCTAAACCTGGGAAAGAGGTTGACTTCACAGTGTCAAGTATGTCCGTAATCAATTTGTGACCATGATTCAGTATGGGCAGTTGTTCAGCTGGTCCTGCTTTATGGTGCTTCTTAGGGAGTTCTTGAGTCGTCTGAGGGCAGAAAATGTGCGCTCTTAAGTCCCGATGTTACAGGTATTGTCAAATAGATCTGTAAAAGTGTTTTTTGGGCGTTTTTCGGCCGCGGCGGGGGGACGCTCAAATTTTTGTTTGGAGGGGCTACGGAACCCCGACCCCCTGCTCCGCCGCCCGCTATAGACCGCCTCTCTACGCTGAAACTAGAAAGATGTAGCTCATGCAGTCCGTGCGTTTATCGTCAACAACAACAAAAACAACAACAATATTAATAGAGGAATGTGAACACTCTAGTCGCGCCATCTTCGTTGTGATCACAGTCCTGCGCTAAATCTTACCTTCATAATCAACTGACTCAACTTCAGCCTCACAAGTATCAGGATTACTGCTTTTCGAAGGACCTAAAGATAAAGCAATAACGTTGAATCAACTTGATATCAGTTTGACTTTGCTATTTTGACCTTGATAAAAAAATTTCGCCCCATCTCAGTGGTAACAACTGTCATCAATACAGATTTCGTTATAACTGTAACGGAGTCCATTTGAATATACAATATATGATTACCTTTGCCATTGCCGCAATACCGCAGATAACTCGCCGGCGGCTTCTCAAACTTGTAAACAAAGAAGTCACCACAGTTTTTGACTTGAATGTCATTTTTGTAGAAGCAGCAATCACCGCCCCAGTGATAACAAACTTTTCGTGTGACCACACCTTGATTCACTTTGGGATGTTTATCGCGCAGCCATCCGGGAGCCTCCGCTCCACACCGCATTTTATCAACACATTTGGTTGGCATGGCAACCCCTGCGGAGCCGTTAAATCGACTCCACCTGTTGTACATCACTGCATCTTCGGATTCTAAATCACATTTGATGACACTTCCGGTGACGAATCCTCTTGCTCTATCGTCTTCATCTAGCACCTTATAAAATCGCCTGTCGCATGGATCAGGCTCTAGAAGAGAGAACATAAAGCTTTAGTTACATGCAACTAGTGTGATGTATGGCAGCAAAACGTTACTAATGGAACGCTTCCTCGTCATCACTCAAATTTTGTCGCGGTTAATCCAAATCGCCTTTTTTGTCAAAGATAAGTAACATTTCCTAAAGTTCAATCTTAAGGTAAGCAATCTGGATTCTGGAATCGGATAAATTTTCGCTACCAGTGGGAAGTTTTTTCTTTTGAAATCAGGAATCCTGGGCTTTGTAATCCGGAATACAGTTAAACGAATCCGGAATCCCACTGACTATTGGAATCCAGAACCCATGTTCCACTGACTGGAATCCAGTACCTGAAATGTGGAATCCACAGCCGGGAATCGAGAATCTAAGACTGTTTTGGATTCCCTTACATGGGGCGATTTACCCAAATGAAAAAAAGTTATAAGCGTTTACTTAATATCAGAGTGAACTTTTCAGTACCTTTTCCATTACCGCAATCTCCAGGGACGTTTCTTTTCAGTTGATACACATAGAAGCCACTGCAGTTTTGAACTTTCACTTGGACGCTCCAAAAACAGCAGTCATACCCTGATCGAAAGCACACGGTGCGATTAACAATGCCTTCTTTCTTAGAAGGATGAGGACCATTCAGCCAGCCAGTGGCCTCAGTACCACAGTGTTTGTAAGGAACGCAACGGTTTGCCATTCGATCGCCAGCACTGCCATTAAACCGATACCAAGCTGTTGACTTGTTGAACTCATCTTTGTCGCTGCGCGGCTGGTCGATTATTATAAACCCTGCCGCCCGATCAGGCTCGGAGAGCACCTTGTGGTTGTTTGATTTACAAGGGTTGACGTCTGCAAGAAACCATGACGTCATTAATTTAACGACATGAAAGCCCTAAATGTTAAACCCACCTACTACCAGGGCAAATGTCATGCAATATAGATATACTTTCTCTCTCTCTTTCTCTCTCTCTCTGTTAGTGGATTCCTAGAGATTGCTAAAATCTGCCAAAAAGTGGAAAGTGGGAATTTTCGGTGAAATTTTCATTTCTTTTTAGCTAGCTCTGTGTTCTAATCACCCGAAATGGCAGCGGAGACGAAGAAATTAACTGCTAACATAGAAGAACTCAAGCGTAATTCTTTGTTTGCGATATTTTACAACAAAGCGCGGTTCAACCAAACCACAGGGCGCCCCGGCGTTCCTGATCCACATGAATGTTGTTGACTGAAACTGGATGTTTCCAGTGTTGCGTCTTCTACTCTCAACACAAACGAATTAATTGACTGAAGATCAATCAGAAAAGACTTAATTTTAATTTATGTGCCTTGAAGACTACAAAGAACAAAAATGCTCGCTAAAGGTCAAGCAAACTAGTATATTATTTAAAGCCCTTTGAAAGGAACTTGTACTGCGTGGAATTAAATAATAGAGGGTCCTTTTGCTTTATTTATTTGTTTTGTTTTATTTTGTTTCCAATTCAAAGACCATTGATTGACTGACAAACTTGATGTCTAATGCAAATTAATACAGTCTTCAATAGTGACCCTCATGACTGTAAATTGATTCATAACGGGCAGTGTCGACTATGTTCGTATTCAAGAAGTTAAATAAAAAATACCCGGTTGACGTCCAGGCCCCTGCTTATTTTAATCAAGAGATCGAGAATGAGCTTATTGTTATCATCAACTGCATGCAGAAAAACACCGTACCTCGCCTCTTACAGAATTATTTTCGTCTAAGTTTCGTTCTTTAATTGTTCTTGTGCATGCGGAAAACTTGGGCCATTGTGTATCTTTAATAATTCACTTTCAAATATAATGACTAATCGTTTTGTTAGGTCTTAGGTATGTTTAATCAAATGTTGACAAGTGAAATTACGATCGGAAAAAATTTCACGCACGTTTTGTCAAAATACTTATTGACTTTCCGAGCCTTTATGCGAGCAAAAATGAACTAATGACGTAAGTATAGTACCCCAAGTGACGTACTATTCTATTTTATTTTCCTTATAAGAATGTCTACTTAAGTTTTCTAGCTAGGCAGTTGAACAGGACAATCTTTAAACTTGCCGAAAATGTCCTTTAATTGCACGCTGGAATATTTCAATAAAATTTAATGCATAAAAAGCTGCTTAACAGGTCTCGACACAACATATGATCAGTCGACCATAATGGAGTTGTTGGTTCATGTCTGACTAGAAATATTTAAACGGCCAAACAAAGGCTTATTCACTTCTCTTGCTTTTGTTGATTTAAATTGCTCCTTTAGAACATGATATTTAATCCTTATTAAATTATTTTTGCCTTGCATTAAACACCAGCTTGAGTTATTCAATTGCTTTTGAAAGTTATTTCACTTTTCTTATACATAGGTTCTCGTATAAAAGACTGCAAGATCGAGGCTACTGGAACAATACACGGGCGCTTGTACATGCCGAATAGCAAAAGATCGGGAATAGCAAGAAATAGTTTGCTAAATGTTTACTTGCTGCCTGATAAGAAGTTTCCCTCTTGCCACTGTTTCTAAGCAAGCTTTTGAATGAAAGCGGAAAAACTCAGGCCTAGTGAGTGTTCATTACCGTAAATACACTTAATTAAGCCCCCCACCCCCTCCCTCTCTCTAACAAGCTCCCCAGTTTTTAGGGGAAGAAATTTAATCCCCCCTATCTTTTAAGCCCTCTCCCCCTCCCCCTTATTTTTCTTCAATAATTTATGATAGACTGTACTGAATCAATCACGACTGTAAAACTTCATTTGGACTGAGCCAGGATAGTTTATTCAACAACTGGAAGTTCGGATTTGTTTTTGATCCTCGCCTGTATCAGACCTTTGACTTCTTGTACTTTAGCTTTTCCACCGTATATTTTAGTTCTTCATGGAGCACTTATACCATTGTTTTTGCTACATTAAATAAGCCCTCGCTCTCAAATACCCCCCCACCCCCTCCCCCGGCCGAGCCTTAATAAAGGATTTACGTAATTATTTTTTGGCTTCATCGTTAATGTAATTGCGTGGGTGAGAAAAAGGGGGGGAGAGTTAGAGAAAAATGATTTCAAATTTTATTTCCTTCTCTCTTAGATGAGAAATAAACAAAGATAAATGAGAAAAAAATACCGTATTATTTTATTGATTGATGTATAAATTGTTGTTGGTCCCACGAGAAAACTATTAATTTTCTGAACGAATAAGACATACGGACGTCTGTAGGGTTTTTTTTTCTGTCGACTTTTCAGTGTCACTCAGGTCAATTATAGACTGAAAGTATTCAAAACTATTTTACAATTTAAAAAAAAGAAGTATTGCATCAAGACTGCGAGTTTAAACATTCGAAACTAATTAATCTAAAAATATATGTTGTCTTTTATCTGTGTCAAAAGGCATTGTATTTGAGATTACGTATTCGCTGAAAGATTCCGATAGCTTGGACCCTGGAGGCCTTTGCCTTAATTAATGCATCGCCATAAAATCCTATTATTATTTGTCATCATGTAACCATAGTTATTAGAGGAGACTGGTTATGAAAAGCGGCAAACATCAATGATAAAAACAACAGTGCTGCAGTTCATGTTCAAAGCACCGTGAAAGTGCACAATCCTTTGTTTTCTGTTGGCAAATTGTTACGGAATAAATTAATGCAACGTTTTTATTGGTCAATACAATCAAAATGATAGGAATTCTTTTGAACGTTGTGCACTTTCAGGTCCACAAAAACATATAACAAAGGAGTCTGACGGGTTTCATAACCATTCCACTCAATTAACTATGATGTAACCTACGAAAAGACCAGGTGCGATTCTTGTAAAATGCCGCGAACAGTGTATTCAAAACGGTCATGGTAGGCAGCATATACAAGAATTTCCCTGCATTTATGTCATCCAAAACTAGCTACTGGAATTAATTGATGAGCTTTTAACACAGTCCACTAAGATCCATAAATTAAGCTAAGCATTAATCTGAAATACATGTAGTACTATGTTTTACTTAAGTAAAGAGCCTAGTTTTGAATAACAATAATGCAACTTGTTTTGTGTCTCTTACTGCTTACTGTTATATAAGAGCCGACTTTGTTTTTACTGTATTCTGTTACTTAGCTTTCTGTCCTGATTTAGTTTAGTTAAGGCAGTGTTGCACAAACTGTACTAGCTTATTTTGGATTTGGCTCATCCATTGTTCGTTTATAATCTGTGTAAAATAAACGACTTACAAAAAAAAAATGTTGCCTTAACAATTATCTTAACCCGCGGTCTAAGTTACGTTTTATCCAAGTAGCCCACACTCTAACTGCAAGAGTAACAGGTGCGTGAGCGAAGAACAGTGCCAGACAAAACTCTAGAAATTACTGAGCGGGTACTATAACTCATCATACAGCTTGAGGAACATAATGTTTATGTTCTCCTACCTTGCCTTAAATTTTATTCGATACTAAAGACTGTTGAATTAGTTTTTGGTTTTATGTAATCATTAGACTCACTATCAGAGATTACCTTTGTGAACCAACTTCGACAGACCAGTCCAACTGAAGGAAATACAAATGCTGCAAACTAAGACAAGGTAGGAATTCATCACTTCAGCACGTTATAAATCTTTCCTGTCCCTGAGTACGACGAAACAGCCGGTCAGATGACTGTGGATTGCTTTCAAAGGGCTGCATATACAACTAGTAAGAGTAATGCGGAAAAACATCGCTCATTGTTCTATTTTTCCGCTTTCTATTTATAAAATTGCTTGACGACAACTTTCCTTTTTACCAGTCGTGTTGTGCAAGCAGGTAAAGCTTTTATCAAATGACTGTACATATTCAAAAATTTGGAAATAGTTTGCAAACTCTTGTTTGCAGAGCAACATTGACTTCGCTTTATAAGATCCTTTATAACTTAGCTTAGCATTTGTCTTGGGTGAGAGAAGCATAGGCAAAACCCTTTCGACACGCTAACAACACACGCCTGACTGGTTACCCATTCATAAGCAAAGGGAGGCTCTACAAGAGTTCTCGTTTGGGGGGGGGGGGGCTTATTTAGAAATCAAGTTTTCCAGAATTTGTAAGTTTCAGTTTATTTGTAAACAAGAGTCAGTTCGTAATTATTTGAGTAATTTGTGAATGCTACCTTTCTAGTACGACGAGGCTGTCGTCAACTGACAGCTCATGGATACTCATGCTGTTAGGGTGACCCGGCGTTAACAGCGTCGAATCTGGTGAGTCAGAACTTTATTAATATGGCTTTATTAATATTCCTCGCAAAATGACCCCCTAATGTGCTTCCAAAATTTTACTTTGCGATCCTTAATTTGATTAAAACATAGCTGTTTGGTTGCAACCGGACATACCGCCTCAGCTATTAATTTATCGATCCAACCTACAACTTTTTGCCATCCTTACCGAGTTTTGACAAACCCATTCAGGAAAGGTCTCTTAAAACCGAACGGAAGACAGGAAATACTAACTGTTTACTCTCTTAAGTAAAGTTTGGACCAAAGAGCATACGAAACGTTAAAGAAACCATACACAAAAATAACACTGTTTGAGTATAAAAAAAAAAAAAAATTAAGAACTGCCTTCCTCACATACACTGTTATTATCACGAGTATTATACTGTAAAATTTCAAAACGTAAAACAGTGGACGTATATCAATATACTTGTTGCACACAAACCGATAACCACTCTACGACGACTATATAGCTACTTACTAATATCAAGGACAAAGACAAACCGGAGGACAGACAGGGAGCTGGTGAAACCGGCAGAAACCTGAGCACGCGACTGACAGAACACAAACGCGAATCGAGCGACGAAAAATGGTGACGTCGACAGTCACATGTGCCGAACTCCATTTACAGACGAAAGATCAAATCGAATGGTAGCCAACAGTTTCCAGCACTGTACATCAAGCAAAACCGACTACGAGAGAACAACTGGAGAACTGACAATTTGACTAACAATTTACAAACCTGTATTTCCAAGAGTATCCGGTAATTTATTTACAATCCTGTCTGCATTAGACATTATTAATAAGAGTAAATGCATTAAATTGATCTTGAGGCAATGGATAACTTATGCAAATACATCAAAAACACATTGACAAAACCATCCAGCACCTTGTAAAATAGACAAATTTATTAGACATAATGATCCTTGTATATAACTGCCTGTAAATTAATGATTACTTTCACGGTGTCTGTAATCGCATTTTTCTTAGTCTTTAATGCGTTGTTTTACTTTTCAGTACAAATTTGTACCCTTTATCTGACTCTATATAATAAATTGAATTTAAAATTTATGTTATATGCAGTGTAATTGGATCATTTCAGAAGTGGGTGGAGGATCGTCTAGAACTGTTGTTGACAATGGCTGTCACTGTCAACAAAAACAGTCCTATTCACCTTGGGGTACTCCCTCATATAAGCCCTATATGTAAGTGCTACCCCAAAGGGCGCATGTGGTTTTTGCCAGGAGCCTAGGCTCCTGTTGTTGCTCCGTTTTGGTCTAAAAACGGGTATGGTTGTCGAGGGAATAAATTGAAATTGAAACGATAAACGTACTTATCGTTTCAATTTCAAATGAAGAAGAAAGAAAGAGAAATATGCGAATTCGAAATGGAATTTAAGAAATCTTTTTTGTTGCTGTTCTAATCTAAGTTGACATAATTACTAAGATGCCAGGTCTGTAAATGGTTGTGAATAATGACATTATTCGATCTGAAATAGGGTCAGCACTTGGAGAACCGGGTGGCACACACTCACCAAGAATTCCCAGAACTATTCCCCAGGCCTATTCAGGACTACGATCACCCGGACGATCATACTCAACTTAACCTACTGAAATAACTCCTGGGTTCAAACCTTTCACTGTATCTTTTTATGTAATTACAGTATATGTATGTTTCTCTGTGACTCATCGGCGTTGAAACTTTATGAGTAAAAGCTATTTGAAATAAGACAGTGATAAAATAATCCATTTATCTATAGTTGATCGCCCCTTTACTGGACTATTCGATAAACTTTGTGCTATCTTACCTTCGGTAAATTGTCGTCCTTTTGCCTAAGAAGTGGTATTTTGAGCGATTTTGAAGGATTTCGAGTTCGCTGATTACTGTTCCTCTTAATAACAGCGAACTCAAAATCCTTCAAAATCGCTCAACGGAGATGTCTGCAAACTTTTATTCAGCGTCGCCAGGGGAGAATTCAACAACGATCGCATTACAATATTCCGCCTTTTTTGTAGGACTTCAGATATGTGGATTTGAAGCAGGCGTCTCGGGAATTAGACTTTCGTTTCAGGCTCCCCGAATAACTTTAGCGAAATTCACATATTCCGGCCAACGCCCTAAGATTTCCTCTCTGTCCCAGTATTATACTTTCTTGCTGATAAGATAATAAAAGTTTTTTGTTGTTGTTGTTTAATTTGTTTTTGGCCGTATGCGTATATCTGTTGTGAATATATGTAACGATCTTTTGCTGCTTAAAAACATGAATAACGCAGTATCTTGAGACTTTGTAACTACTCCGAGTCTAGTATCGACAGTCGACCTTTTCGTAAGCGATTAGATTTATTGAAAAGTTAATTAACATGCAGGCTTGATCTTTGCTTCATGCATCTTTTCGTCCAGTGCCTGCCTGTTTCATTGATGGAGCTGTGGTAGCTTTGCTTTTGCACTACGTATATAACTCGATTTGAATAATTATCTGACTGGACCTAAATCCCACAGTTAAGGAAAGTGTTGTGTAGAGACAAGAGCCATAATAGGACAGAGGGACCATCATCTTTTGACAACACCACCTATAATGCAAGTCGAGCTATTTACTAAGTTTCAAAACAAATCTTTCACAGCTCTATCGATGAGGCAAATTCCTTCCGCGTCTTTTGTAAGCCGCGGCTTATTTTCCCTAGTTTAAAATACCCTATAAACTTCATGCCATGTGAAGATGGATTGAAGATATTCACGTCGACGCACAACATCACTGCTTTTTTTTTTTTTTTACAGGAAAATACATTGGCGATGAAGGGAATGAGCTGTCGTTGCCACCTTTAATAATAAAAAACAAATGCTGCACTCAGGCTGGGCTTCTTACGTCTGAACTCAGTGCGCTGGCTGATATAGTTCAGTCAGCTTTTGGCTTTTTCTTTCTATATTTAACCTTCCATCTGATGTGAGCCTGATAACGAGATAACGAAGTCTCACTTGAAAAATTCGCTCAAAGATGCATTCTGTTTATTTAAATAGTTAGTACTCGAGAGTGTGGGAGAGTATTCTTGGTATCCCGGATATGACCAAATACAGTGCGAGATTCTAGAAAACGCAAATTTTCTTCGGTATACAGGATTTGACAAAAAATTAGGAAGCGGGTTTCGCCAAATTTTTGGCACGAGACGAGGTATTGTGGAAAGAGAAGGGTATTCGGGATAATCTTGACGGAAATTCGGGATGCGGGATTGTCATGAGCGGAATGCGGGATCAGGATCCCACTTCCAGACCTTTGTTAGTGTCCTTAGCCAGGGCAGGGACTTTTCTCACTGGAACATGTAGCAACAAGTAATACAGAGAAATTAACTTGTATCTGTATAGAACAGTAAGTAAGGGAATGTTTAACAAAACGGTTGAACGGTTTGAGTTCCTCTTCAAACGTTTCGGGACTGGCCCTTCATCAATGGAGTTACAAGTACGTTATAGCGTTGCAAGGTTTGCATACGCCATGAAAGAAAAAATAGACTCTCCAAAAGAACTTTGTAGTGCGAGTGCGGCTCTTCGCAGTTATGCGATCTCGACCAGTCACAGGAAACAATTTATAGAAAATCTCCCCCTCTCCCCACAGAGAAAAAATATATTGTCTGTAAAATCATTTTGAAGACATTTTATAATGTTTATATATTTATTGAATCGAGAATGTCTGTCTACCTTTAGAATTAGTAAGAAGACTAAAAATTTTACAGACATACCAAAAAACTCTGAAAAATCTTTGTAAATTTACATTTATAGTGATAAAATCTCTGTAACATGGAACTTGTAAAGTCTTTGTAAAATGGTATAAGCAGGGCGTGGTAAAATCTCTATAAAATGTCTTAAGCAGGACATTGTAAAATCTCTGTTAAATGGTATAAGCAGGGCACCATTGTTATTTTGATTACATTTATTTTGTGTGGAGAGGACACCTTCCAAAACTGTAATTCTTTTGTGAAAAAAAAACATCAATTGATTTAAATCGCCAGTGAACTAACACAACTCTAAAAAAAACTGATTATTTGCAGTCAAGCGTGAAACAAACTAATTTATCTTGTGTGTTCAACTAGTAATTGTTAACGATGCGTGAAGTGAATAGACCCTATTCACGATGCTCGCATCTTTGTGCGCGCTTTAGAATTGTTGGGATAAAATCAATGTCACGTGGTATTCAGGCAGGACTGGAGGCAATCAAGTGATACCAATACGAGTAATCGCTACCGAGTTTGTTCATTCTCTCAAACCGAGGATCGATTTTAGTTTTGGAAAATACACAGTTCAAGTTTCGAAAAGTTTTACGTCATTGTTGCTGCTGTGAGGTCATTTACGACCGCTTAACGTGATCCCAACAAGTAACAAAGGTAACTTCAACCCATATTTTAAGTGTTTAAGTTAAACATGTCTTCAGTCTATTTCTGTTGTCTAAAAAAAAACAAATTAGACCGCGATTTCTTGTACTATCAGATTTCATCACTTGTTGGACCTCTGAGAAACCACGTGTGATCGCTTTTCCCCATCAACCGTAAGCGTATGCAAAGAGGTCTATTGAGAGCTACTTGTAGCCTCCCCTTCCCCTGGGAAGAAAACGTCGCGCAGGGGAAGAGGGCAGGGTTGGATTGCCAGGGTACGTCTAAACGTGGGTTAGTAAAATGATCAATGGACGGAGAGACGATGAATATCCGGTGTAATACGGTGATTTCTTGGAAAAAGAACTCTTGCTCTGTGACGTCCAATTACGAGACCTTATGACGTACAATTACATCCGTTCGATTGTTTCAATGTTTACAAAAGTGCTTTACCAGGCATTTTATGAAGAAACCAGTGTTCGTTTTCATTCATCTGTCATATGTGTCAAAATTTAAAACTCACGTCTTCAATTGAAATACTTAATCGCACGAAGTGACCATTTCTCTTATCACTTCTTAAGTACTTATATTAAAAACTTATAATTCTTGATACTATAAACAATTTAACGCTGATAAGGAGAACGGAGTTTGTTTTCGGAATTTGGTAGCTGGTGTTTATAATAATGACCCAGCACTTGTGAAATTTCAGCAAACCATGGTCCGATTCTATTATCCAAACTGTACCCGACACCCTGCAAAAACAAAAACAAAAAAAAACAAGGTAAAAAATCGAGGTATTATAGGAAGCAAGTTGAAATAAACGGGGGCTCTTGTCTACCTTTCTTTCCAAACAACGACGACATGTAAGAATGAAAAGCAAAAGCTACGATTGTATTCATAGAGACAAAGGTCGTATGCAAGACATTTGGTGTACTACAAAATAATGCAATCAACGCTTTATTATTAGGAAGCCACACTATAGCTACCATTCTTCAATATTTGTTTGACTCTCTCTGCAAGGAAGAAACCGTTCTCATGAAAAAGGACACGTCTGGTTTGAACAATTAGGTCAGCCTTTAAATCTCATTTATTTTACATCGCTTACGAATTACGAGCCATAAAATAGAACAAAATATTCGAATTATTTTAAACTTCTCTGCTCTGACTTTTGGAATTTGTTGTTTTCATTATCTTTTAAGGTGTGGAATTTACTCAATGATGCTTGCCTGGGTTTGGCCAAGCCGAAAGGAAGTATGGTCCCGAAACGTTGATTCTTTCCAATATGGCAACGTTGACTACTGAAAACCTGCCACTTTTGACTTGATTCCAAGGTATTTTAGAAGATTTTAAGACAGAATCCATCAGGAAATTGAGCAATTTTAACTTCAGTGGACAAAAACCTTGTACCAGAATAATAAATATTTAAACAATATCTTATCCCTTTTTTACATTTTTTAAAGGCCAAAGACATAATAAATCATCTGTAGTAACACCAAAGAAAATTTCTCATGGAAGTCCCAGAAAATGAAAGCCAAATTTCACAAGAATTGTGATTACACAGGTAAAATTCTGAAAACCTCATGTGTAAGATGTAATTTTGTCAAATTTGACATACATTTTCTCGGGCTCCCATAAGAAATTTCTTTTGGTGTCATTACAGATGATTTATTGCGTCTTTAGCCCTTGAAAAATGTAAGAAAGAATGCAATATGCTTTAGATTATTCTGGTACAGGATTTTTGTCCACTGAAAATCAAAATTACTCATAAATGCCCTGGTGGATTCCGTCTTAACGAGTCACGAGGAACAAACAACAACATCAGTTTGTAAGAAGTGAGTAATTATAAGGGTTGCGTATCGTGTGTTTGTCCGACTATACTATTAGAAGAGGAACGTCCGTTTATTTATCTCTAATCAATAATTTTGTCGAACGTTTAATTCTAGAGAATTGATAAATTAGCCTTTACTGGACGTAGGTACGAAATTTTCAATATATTTATTGACCATGAAGGATTAAAATCTGTTAAAAACAATAAGCCACGGTTTGTATCATGAAAAAATGTAACTAGAAGGAACTTTCTATAACTCAAGAGGACAAAACATTAAGGGACTGTTTACATAGAGAAAAGAAAATCCTGCATCGGGAAGATCCTACAAGGCGGAACACTGCTTTACGTTGAGGCTAGATGAAGACATTTTTCGTCCGTGTGGTGCCCAAGTAGAGAAGGTTCGAGAAGGAATCAAAAATGGTGGGCGACAAAAACAAAAATGCCCTTCTGCTCTCTTTACTGGTGTCAATAACTACCTTTCAGCCATAATCAGCTTGCGGTAACGAAAAACGAAATGGTCGGCCTTCAGGGGCGTAGCTAGGGGGGGGGGTCCTGGGGTGCCCGTGACCCCCCCTTGGTAGGCCTTCTTTTGAGCAAACAACCTTCAATATTCAGGTGGCGAAAACGCCATGACAATATCTTGGCTGTAAAAGCGATTGTTGAAAGGCCCACTGTTTTAAAATTTGTTTTTTTGTAAAGTATTTTCGTCAACGGCTCTTGTCTTTAGTTAATATGGGCCTTCATGCCGCGATAATACGACTGAGCCCGCTGATACACTAGGGAGAGCGGCGGTGAGTAGCCTCTGTGACTCCCCCTTTGAAAAATCCTGGCTACGCCCCTGGCCTTCATAATTGCCATGATTAGCCACTGAACGACCAGCCGCCATTTTTGTCTTGCAGTTTAAATTGTACTAAGATCTTCCTAGGAAGATCCAAGCGCTTGATTGAAGTGCAATCTGCCTTTGCCTTCAAACCCGAATACAGAAAACATATGGTGCAATGATGATCCGCCTTCTAGGGTCTTGCTGGTGCTAGGATCTTAATTCCTCCCTCCATGTAAACTTAAATGAGCACAATTCTAACCTCCTTAAAGAATATCCTGTAGTGCCTGATTAGAGATGTACCGTCTTCATTCATGTCTCGCACTGACAAAGACTAGAAAGAGCGGGAAAATTAAGCAAAATAAATAAATGCAGCTGAAGAGTAATCATCAATCATTCTCAGTTTACTCCACAACTAGAGCTGTAAATTACATGCATATAAAAAAGTACAGATTTTGCGTTCACCTGCTACCAGTTCAGCAACAACCCAAGGGAGCAAAACTGATGGGTAGGAAGGTGTGTACGTTATAGGGGGCGAACTTTCTGGACAAGTTTCAACCAACTGAAGTGCCAAAATTAAAATTGGCGGTCTTTCGTGTCGTCACATTACCTTTTAAGGGAACTAAGGCCAAGCCAAACGTCGAACTTTTCATGAAACGAATTAAGCCTAGTGAGTTCAGTTCATGGAAGTTCGACGTCTGGCTCAGTTAACTGTTCGTCTGATTGAGTTTGGATCGTCCAACATCTTCTATCCGTCTGCTTCAGACGGATATAACGTTTGAAGATCGTCTAAGGATCAAAGGTCGATCTTCACATGCGACGAACTAAACTGATAAATCAAAAATTTATATGATAATGTATATTTAGCCTCGTTCGTAAGAAAATTTTTACTGATCTTACTCAGTTGATTAGTTCGACGTGTCCGAAGTTCGACGTCTGATCTGACCCAACAGACGATCTTACATTTTAATGTAAGATTGTAATTTAGGTCGACCCAAATAAGACTGTTTGGCTTGTCTCACGAAAAGTTCGGCGTTTGGCCTAGACCTAATTAAGAGTATTAAGTGAAAGAATGACAATATTGGCTACTCCACTAAACCAACTTTTAATTTGATATATTGCTGTTGTCAGTATTGGTTGTTCTATTGTTTTAGAATTTGTAACTTCGGGGTAAGAACAAATTTGAGTCAGGCTCTCAAAACGAGATCCCGGTTCATCATTTTCGCACCTCCAGCCAGCCCTGTCCACAAATCTTTAATACTTTCACTGATTAATAGAACCAACACAGAGAGCTCAACACTTACCTTTCCTGATTCTGAATTGCCGGGACGTGTCAAGTATGTTCCTAACAACTCTTGTTTCAAAAGTCTGAAGAGAAGCAAAAAATGGTGATTTATTTAAAGAAAGGTTGAAAATTGAAACAATTTTTCAAGAGCGAGTTTACTGATATGCGAACATTTAAGTGCCTCACTGTTATTTAGTGGAAAACCATAAGTACAAACTTTATTATGACTAAGACTTTTCAGACAAATACTATGCTACGTGCAGGGCTGTCCTCGTAAAAAAAAAAGCAATTTAGTCAAGGCGTAACCCTTTGTAACCGTCAAAGTACATTTTCGTAATTTGAACTAGGAAAACGATACCTGCTTGCCGTCTCTTTATCTGCGTCCCCGTTAAAAGCTTGGGAAACCTGCAATGCATTCAGAAAGCTATCGTTAAAAAGTGTTGCAACACATTATCTCTTCGGAATACTACCCTGAGCAATTCCAAAATTGACTGGCCTTGCTACGCTGGCAGAAGGACTGCCTTCATTGCCTAGCGAGTGTGTGTAAAGCAAAGGTCCGATCACCTATTTGAGCTAGCTGTTCACAGCGCTCGGACAAATAACTTCATCTGAAGTCAAGATCAAATTATGCTAGGATCATGATGAGGTACCATTCTTTTGAAACTAAATTACAAATAAGGCCAACTCACTTCAACCTGTTTCACTTTGGCGTTTTCACATCCGTCTGGGGGACACCTAAGAATGAAATTGAAACGCAGACAGATAGATACAAGAATCAATTTTTTTAACGGACACAGGAAGACACCTCTATTAAAGGGACTATTTTTCCAGCAAACGTTGCTTTACGCCACGACAAACGCAAGGTGCATATCAGGGATTCCATTCCCCTCCCTTACAGACGCTCCATTCTCCTTCCCCAAGAGTCTGAATGGGCGTACGGGAGTACGGAACGTACTAAACGCTCCACTCTCGTACGAGTGTGCATCAGTAGTCAATAAGTAATAATGTGTAATACGTAAAGGCTCGAAAAAGTTAGTATTTCAATATGGACAAAACGCAAGTGAAATTATTCCCTAATTTCACAAGTTTTACATGCGATTACTTGCTAATATCATGGGTGACAAATTACCCTCGCAATCTTTGGTTTTTTACTTGTTTATCGGATCGATAAACTGAACTGCACTGAAAAGTTAATTTTTCTGAAGTTTTTGACAAAACATTTTTTTTGCCTTGATGTGCTCTTTCGTGTGTTTAGGTTTTGTAAACCGTCTTTTAATACCTCGACATCGTCACAAAACCTTAAACTTTGACGCCATCTTGACACTGAAAAATACCGAATGTTGCCATTGCAGTTTTGTAATTTCACAAATTAACATAATTTGTCACCCACAATATTATAATAATTATAAAAAAAATACGACAATGATTTTCAACAAGTGAAAAAGGCGAACGCTGGAAGTTTCAGTAACTGGCGATTCTAATCGCAGGCTAGTGAAGTTGTACCTTCCGTGTGTGTTTGGTCTCAGAGGATTAGATGCAGCAGGTCTTGGAGAACGCGGAAGTGCAGGGACTGAAGAAAAGGCAAGTGAACACAATACATTATTATAAGTAGGTAAGAACCAATCACGGCTTGTCGTAAGCAAGTGCTGACTGGTCCGTCGTCTGATAGGAAAATTAGTCCAAATGCCTTGTCAAATTCATTTCAAAAGTGCTTAAAAATAAATGATTAATTACCTGTTTCTTGAATATGACCTAATCTGTTGCCTTGTTTACCGAGCTGTTTTACCACACTGTCAAATGTTGCTCCTGATTGTTGTACTCCTAACTGAGACTCCGAGAAGCTTCTTCTTGCTTTTGTGAGATGTCCAAGCTTCCCTCCTCGGGCCCCCGGTGCCTCTGGACGGGGCAGAGTTGCGGGCTTTTTATTCACGGGGCTGTTTTGTTTGGGTGGGGGAGGTAATGGTTTGCTTTGCTGACTGTACTTTTCCGAGGGTTCAGGGGGAAGGGACAGTGAGTATGGTCGTCTTGACGACGGTTCATCAGGAAGACGGGCTGGAGGCCGTTCAGGGAGTCTCCTTGAAGTTGACGGTGGAGGAGGCGGGGATCTTTGGCTATCAGCTGGTGGTGGATAATCAATATCGCAGTACGCATGACTAGTCGGACTGTTGAACATGAATGCCATTTGTTAGTAATTGCTTTACTTGGCGTTGGTGCTTTAATATAGAAACTTAAATCACTTTCTCAGCTTCCTGGATTGCCTATAAACGATACCTTTTCTTATTGTTATTTTAGGAGGATAATTTCCTTGAAAGTGCTCTCTAGACTAGCCTGTGTGTACAGTTGCCCCCTTCCCTCAAAAGAAATCGAGGGAGGGGACGTCTGTGAACAGGCTACCTTCGACCAACTAACGTCAACATTAGATCCCATCGACCGTAGCCCCTTTCTCCCCTTATAATTAAATTAACTCAAGGTAGAACTGTTTTCTGCTTTTATATCACACTTAGATGATATTTCAAGTAAGAAATGTTCATGAAAGAACAAGTCTCTTCAATTTGAAAGAAAAAAATTGATATGACGGGCAGTAGGATTCGAACCTACGGTCCAGATGACCCATTATACCACACTAACCACTACACCACTTAGGATTTGGTGGATGGTGAGGAAATAATTTAAGTACATATAGCATCAACCCCAACTTAAAAAAGGAACTTAACCAGTTTTAACCTTAATAAGCCGAAAAGACAGTGCTCAACTCTGATCACCTATCAGTAAAGGCAGTCCTTAACCCTAACCTGTAAAAGGCAGTGCTTAACGCTTTTTAGTAATGGGGAAAACTGCATTGTGTAAATTTCATGAGGTGTCCGAATTCGCTACGGGCGTTGGGATCTGAAGATAACCTCTAAACAACGCAACGACAATTTCATTGTTCTTGCGTTGTGGCCGTGGTTTCATGGGTTGGATGGAGACTGGGAACAAAGCAGATAACGGGTTACCAGAAGTTACTGGCCACTAAAAGTCTTTTTCATTTTCGGCTACTTACTTAATATATTCCTCTTTCTCTTTCACAATTGCATCCATCCATTTCTGTAACAAAAAACAACAAAAAACGTCCAGTTAAAAGAATTTAAACTGAAAAGCGATAATACTACTAGCTACCGTGCCATAAATACCACGTTGAACTTAAAAAACCCATAAATTCAAAGCATTATGAATAAAACAGAATAAGTATTTATTTAATAAATTACCTTTAAATCATATTCTGTATCCACAGAAAAAAACAAAGTTTTTACTTCTGTTGAACTTATCAGTTTAAAAACCCATGGGTATTTGGTAACTTCTTGGGCATGACATACTCTGCACATAAACACAAAAGACGAGTAGTTTAAGAACACATAAAGAACAGATATATTTAATGTTGCACTGTAATTTTCAGGGAGTTATAATAACTCCTCTAGTGGGGCTAATTTAACTCCTTACAGTGGAGTTATTTTTCGTGGAGTTATTTTAACTCCAAAAAGGAGTTTAAAGAACTCTTTTTCAGGAGTAAAAGTGACCCCAGATATTGAGGAGTTAAATTAACTCCAAAAAGAGTAAAAACAACCCCTGTAAGGAGTACAAGTAACCCCATTTCGGAGTAATTTTAACTCCAAGACTGGGAGTAAAAAGAACTCTTTTTCAGGAGTAAAAATGACCCCAAATTCGGAGTTAAATTAGGAGTTAAAATAACCCCAAAAAAGGGGTTATCCTGTACCTAAAATTTTTACTCCATTTTTGGAGTTATAATAACTCCCTAAAAATTACGGTGTGGTTTTCACTCTAAGGTTACGTCCACAGGAATCTGGATACGTGAACTTGCACAGTAATGTTTAGGGAGTTGTTATTTCAAAATGCCGTCGCCGTTTAGCATTGACCACTCCAGAAAATACCTTTACATACAATGATGTTCTTTGTTTGTCACCCAAAATTTCGCATACACATTGTCTTCAGTTTCTTTTGGGAGTTAAAAAATCTTGAAGTGACAAACAAAGAACATTACAGTATGTTATGGTATTTTCTGGAGTGGTCTGAATTGCACGATGTTATTTTATGTTTGCGTAGGTATATTAACAAGAGCTTCGCTATTTATCTAATTTTAAGTAGCCATTCTGTGTAAGGCTTCCAAACATCAAATTGTTGGCTTAGAGAAATTTCGATCCACCCTCATTCCTGTACATATACCATTAAAAGATTTTAACGAAAGGAAAATGCAAATCATGGTTTACTTGTAGTTCTCTAGTGAAATGGCTTCCGTAAAATTTGTAGAATCGGGCTTCTTGAACAAGTACAAATATCCTGTTTTCAGGATCATATAAAACCAGGACCCTGTAAAAAAAAAGAGAATTGAGGCGAATTGTTAATTAGGCTGGTTCGTAAGAGTCTATATCAGTAAACATGATTGTGTCGCATTCTCTAGAGTGAAAGTTAGAAGAATATTAAAAAGGATTGCAATGTAGGCCATTTCTAAGTTTTTCCTTTAAAACCGTTAGTTATACAAGGTTTCAAAACTTGTATCAGTTTTTCAAAGTGCTTTGTTGTTTAACCAGTGATTTCTTTTCCAAGGTTAATCCGGTAGAGAGTATTTAAGGGGCTGGTGTTCATTGGTTTATTATTTCCTATAACTCGAAGCGCCTTTTTTCGCCAAGGAACTTAACGTTACCGAGGAATTTATTGATTTTAAATGACAAAATCACAGCTTACGAATCGTATATCAAACAAATATCTCCCTCAAACCATTTTATCAAGGCATAAACAAACAATAAAAACTATTCGCCTAACAAGTTCTCAAAAACCGCAACTGCAATCCGCCGTTTATTTGCCATTCGTGCCTTCCTATGTATTTGCTGATGTTGTTCACGTCTTTTTATATTTAGAGTTTATCATTTCTTTAATGTTTTTTATAGCCTGTTGGCGTAATTAATCACAGTAAACAGCAATCTGAGGTTATCCCAGGAAAGTACAGTGTAAAAAATTGTACAGTCATCTTCAGCCGGTATACGAGGAAGTGACCAGCTGCTTAAACGACGCTGAAACGACACTCAGATGAAAAAGAAATTTGACAAGATCCCCAATTTTCTTTCTCTTAAACTAATTCTTTTATCAATTAAGTGACTGCAAAAATATCTGAATTGCAAAGTAGGACTCGATAATTTTTTTCTTATAAATGCGACTTTGTGGCCTGCCGATTCAACCAGTTGTTTCCAGCACAATGAGTTGTCATTACCCGTTTGTATCGTTGCTTGGCGACATGGCAGCTAGCCTGCGATCATACCCTCTCTCGTTACCTCTGTAATCTGTTTTTGGGAGGAGGGCGTTATTTTTTTCCCTCTCGAGCCAAAGAAGTAAAGAAGCAGAAAAGAAAAAATAACGCCTGATCTCAGGTTACATCGCAGCAGCCTACAAGTAAGAGTAATCAATGCCATCCCTATGAATGTGAATATATTTAATTTCATATACCGTAGGCGTAGAAATGCGGTATCAGGGGATCATTTCACACGCGAAACAAGTTCATAGCAACTAACCAGTCGCCGGCTAAAAGAAAGCCCAAAGTGAAAAAGAATCATGCTTAAACTTCGGACCAAAGTGAAAAAAAAATATCGTGCTTAAACGAGATTCGAAACCATGACCTCTGCGATATTCGAGGTGCAGTGCTGTAACGTCGATCTTAGCTATCAAGCCAGGCTCTCTTTTCACCTCTGCTTTAAGGCTAACTGTCTTTCATGGTCACGTGCTAAATCTTACTGAAGAACCATTTTCCATGTTCTCCGAAAAACACTCTCTCTATAGTCGACTTTACTAGACCTTACAACTTGCTTATATCTGAAATATTTAGGAATTTCGCATGTGAAATGTTAAGCCAACCTCCAAAACACAAAAGTTATAATGTAGCTCATGTTCGATATTTTTAAATTTTAACATGACTCCGAGGCTTAAGGGTCAAAATAGCAAATTTTTCAGGACTTCGTTGTGTCGCAATTCTCAGAAGAGACTTGAGCACAAAGAAAACCAATCCAAACATAGAAAAATGACCTGAAAGCCTCGGAGTCATGTTAGAATTTAAACATATCGAACGTGGGCTATTACCACTCGTGGTATTTATGCGAAATATCACTAAAAATCATGCTATTACCTGTACTAATTCATACAGAAGTTAATTTTTACTTAATTGGACTATATATAGTTCCACTAGTAAATAACCGTTAAAGCTACCACCCCATTGACACCCTCTTAGCAGTTTAACAGTTTTTCGAAGTTCATTTGTTGTTTGTAACATTTTTATAATGCTTGCAAGATATAAGTCTTTGACAAGAAGCTGCCAGTGATTTTGTCATTTTCAAGCTTTTTTTTCTACTACGCAGCATAAGTAAGCGTGGTTATTCGCAATACACTATACTGTAACAAAATGAAATAAACGACCGTGACAGAGCCCCTTTAAGGCATTAACTCGGCTTCACCTGAGTTAAAACAATTAATGGCAGATAGAACTTACATCCATCGATTTTCTTGACCACCGACAGTAATCCGGTTCCCCCGTCATCTTTTCTCAGCCACCCAAAAAGACTTGGAGCTGTGCTAAGCAAATCAGTGGCGGAGATATTGGCAAAGTTTTCTACAGCTTTAGCCATCACTTAGCTCAAGTGGCTTAGCAGCTTGCAAATTTCTGAAAGAATAATGTCCTATATTTAATTTTCATAAATGATCAGACACGAAGAATATAATGAGAGCCAGTGCTCTTTATCATTGCTTTATCACTGTTACTAGTAATTATGTGATATCATTGACTAAAAATTGCGCCAGTCACCATAAAATATTATTATAATAATAATAATAATAATAATAATAATAATAATAATAATAATAATAAAAACTGTATAAAAAGGAGCATAATTGACCGAAAGTAACGAGTAAATCTTTACCGCTAAATGTTTTTTTTTTTGTATCGGATTAACTTAATTACTAGATAAACCTACCGACTCGTTCAAAAATCAGCCGAGTCCGCCCACTCCGCCGGGCCAGGAAGGGAAGTGTAGCTATCACCTCACTAAGACGTAAACGTAATCCATTAAAAGACAGAGGTTGATCTTCAATACCCTCTTCACAACAATAAACAAAAAGCTAACCAACAATGGTTTTTAAAACACTAGAAGACGGTTTTAATAATCTCAGAGAGACTGCATGGTGACTACACGATCTGCGTGATTTATGTTTGCGAGCCTAAAATGATTACAAAGCAAACAGGAGCCGGCTCCTGAAGCAAGTCATTAGTAAACAACCTAAAGTCGCGCGACTACCAGAGCGAGGCAAAATTAACTTTAAGTCCAAAATAGCGGCTATCAGAACTTCAATAAATTAACTAGAGAAAGGTTGTTGCAACTTTTTATCGATCACAAATCACTGTAAGGACATGTAACATGGAACTTCCGTTGTCAAATCACGCGATCCTGCCTGAGAATTACCATTCAAAGGTCTTTTATGATGATCAAAATGGCGTCCAAGAATTTCGACCCGGAAGTATGTTTCCTCGCACCGTTTAAACTAAACTAAAATTTAATTGCTGTTAGTGATTTCGATGTTTGTTTCATAGAAAAACATAAAAAATCAGTTCATGAACCAAGCAATATCGATTTAAACTGTGATACTATGGGCATCAGGCATGCTTTGCGTACTTAAGATGGCATTAATATGTTTAATCTGACGAAGAGCGCCGCACAAAATATAATTTAATAGTCCATGCATATACTTAAAAGTATACTGAACTCTTAAAATAAACTTTAAGAAATCAATATTAACCGATGTATCTTTAATCAGGCTGTTATCTAACTGGAAATATTCACGCTCACTTCGGCCAAGTACTTTCCTGAGCTGAAGAAGAGATCGATAAATATTGTCGGATTAGTATGAGCAAAAGAGATGTAATTGTCGAGTTGCTTACCGTTTTTTCTAGGTAGTGAACGTAAAAGCAGATGTCCGCCATTGACGTCAAATATTCACATTTTAGTCAGGTCAGCTAGTCACCTGGTTAGCGAATGTTAGCGGTGATAAACACAGACTACGCTACAGTCAAAACGAAAACCAAATGCGCCCGTAAGGCGACACTAAGCAAATTTATGTTCACAGCAGCAGCTTGCCAACAGAATAAATTTGAAAGGTCATTCGCTTAGTCGAGGTCAAAATTAACATGACTGCTAAACTGTTGGAGCGTGGAATGAAAACGACTTGTTTGCACGAACAAACTTCAAATTTCCCAAAGCACGTTTATCCATGAAATAAATAATTAAGATTTTATGATAAGCCACAACAACCTGTCAAGCGGACCCCGGTTTTTAACAGTTATGTTCATTTCGTTCTCAATTTATTTTTTCCCTCTATTTTCTGTAAAGCGAATCTGCCATCGAGTCGGGACTCTTGCTTGGACACTTGCAAGGATTTCCCTGTGCAGTAAAAAGCAATGCATTTTTGGTATTACTATGAAAACGTTTAAGGCCCTTGCACACACTCTGTACATTAAAAAAAAAGATAAAAAGGAAAAAGGAAAATCAGTTCCGCCCATCATCAACTGAGACTAACCTGGCGCGCCTCTATGAAGCAGTTTTCATATCAAAAATACTATTCACTGTGCAGATTCAATTATGTCTTCTTGTCATTCAATTATGTCCGTTTGTCATTCAATTATGTCTTATTGTCATTCAATTATGTCCGTTTGTCTTTTAATTATGTCTTCTTGTCATTTAATTACTATATCTCATCAAGATTCAATTATGTCTTCTTTTCATTCGATTTTGGTCGCTTGTTATTTAATTATGTCTGCTTAACATTCAATTAATCTGTAAATTACTATGTCTACTTGTCATGCTATTATATCCAATTATCATTTAATTATCACATTTTGTCATTAAATTTGCCTTTTTGTTGACTGTTTGTCCTTCATTCAATGGGGTCGTTCCATCGGCGTTCCATATGGACTGATCACTTGAAAACGAGAAGAGTCTGGGACTAGAAATCAAGCTTGATAGATCACACAAGATGGCGGCAAGTTGGACGTGTGTTGTGAAAGAGAGGATCCAATGCGGACTACTTGAGATCATACAGAAGTTAAATACTAGACATTTACAGTACCATGAAGCAGATTATCTGTATTATAAGCTAGATAGATTGGAAACCATCTTGTCTCAGTATGCCCAGCTTGCGAACATCGACGACCGTGTATTCTGCTGTATTTCAGAGGTCAAGTATCTGATAAGGAATGAAATACAGAGAAACGAAGGAAATGGCGATGGTTTTCAGTGCGAAATGGTATTTAGTGGAGATCGAGGGCGTCCACGCTATAATATAACCGAAGAACAACTGGAGTATTTCCTCGATTTTGGTTTTACAGCAACAGAGATATCTGCTATGTTAGGCGTCAGCGAACCAACAGTCAGAAGACGCCTCCAAGAATTTGGGTTAAGTAGTAGGAACCTTACAAACATTTCAGATGATGCACTTGATAGGATTGTAAGACAAATTAAGGAAGACTTTCAACAAAGTGGGTACAGGGTGATACGAGGAATTTTGCGTGCCAGGGGGTATCACATAGCAGAACGCCGTATAATGGAATGTCTGAGACGAGTCGATTTAGAAGGTGTTATTTTACGCTCTTTGCAGCTTCAAATAGTTCATCGAAGGGAGTACAAAGTGTATGGGCCGAATGCTCTGTGGCATATCGATACGAATCATAAGTTGATAAGGCAAGTTTTAAAGAAATCTCCTGGAGGATGTTCCTTGGAATTCTTGGTGAAGGGTGTGCCGCCCGGTTCCCCAAATCCAAACCCTACATGTATTTCAGAGCCAAAAAATGTCAGTTTCGGTTTCTACACCCGTTTTCAGACATGGCCTCTGAAATCCATAGCCTTTTTTTCGGCCGACATTATGTCTTCAGTACTTAATTTAGAACAACAACACAAAGATTTCTTACAATCCATATTCACGTATTCGAATTTGCAGTCTTTCTTTCTTAGTCATTTCGAATTGAAACAACAAAGACATTCATACATGCCTTTAGTTCCCTTTGAACCCCTTCCTGATTCCAGACCAAAATAGGAATAGTGCATACCCGTTTTCAAACCAAAATTGGCTCAAAAACTCTGGGGCAGCACATACCTTTAAGGCTTATATTTAACAATTATTCCTTGAGTCTGAATGGGCTGTTTAACAATTATTCCTCGAGCCCGAATGGGTTATTGATAAAGAGGCAATGAGGGCCAGAGGAAAATTGTTTTAAAAAAAAAAAAAACAAGTTGGTAAAAAATATTGAGACAAAACAACTTTAGCTAGTTAAAGCTAGATAGCTTTAACAATAGAAAACAATAATAAGATGAGAGAATAAGAAAACAATAATTGTTGAGCTAATTAGCACCTGCATGAAGCACGAAATTTAAGTTATGAAAACAAAATAATTCATATTTATCATGAGACAATAGTTTTGGTGTGTGTAGTTTCAAATGTAACATAATTCACACCTGAACTACCCTTCACTATGAAGCAGATCCTTGTCCCTAATATACCACTTAACACGCCAACATTTTTGATACTTATAGATAACCGTGACAACTTAGTCAGCAGCAGTGCACAGGGAAGAGATCTGTCAAACCATACGAATCGCAAAGTCACTTCCCCTTTCCTCTTTACAATCTTCCACTTTGCCAGCACCAAGTAAGACACATCACATGAAATTGAGGCAACACATTTAAATTCACTCTTTCTGGGCAGTGTTAACATTCCTATTTCCTGGGAAAGAAAAGGGGTTAAATGCCATGGTAAGGCTTCAATTTGATCAGTACACTATTATCACCATAATGTGTTGATTTTGATGTTTAATCATACTCAAAATTTTCAGATGGAGGCTAATAATACATGGTGGCATAGATGGCTTTTCTCGTGCAGTAGTTTACCTGGCTTGTCACAACAATAACCGAGCTGAAACTGCTCTCAGTGAATTTCTCAAAGCTGTTGATAATTTTGGTGTACCCAGTCGAGTGAGGACAGACCAGGGAGTGGAAAATGTTGATATTGCCAGGTACATGTTGACCCACCCTGAGAGGGGTGAGGGACGTGGCAGTCACATCACTGGTAAGAGTGTACACAACCAGCTAATTGAAAGATTGTGGAGGGATGTGTATCATGCATGCCTATTTAAGTACCATGCTCTATTCAGGTTCATGGAGGACATTGGTGTACTTGATGTTGAAGATGAGGTCCACTTGTTTTGTCTTCACTATGTCTTTATTCCACGGATCAGAAATCACCTTTCAGAGTTTGCCAGGGGATGGAATAATCATGGAATGTCAACAGAAAGAAATAAGACACCAATGCAAATTTGGGTACAGGGGATGTTCAACTTGTCAAACAGCAACCACAGATCTGCGAGGGAGTTCTGGGAGCCAAGAGCAAATGTAAGTCTGCAGCTGCTGCATTATTGTTGACCTTGTATTGTTCTTCAAAATTATATATGGAACATTAATGCAGAAATTATATTAATTCCTATCTATGATGTTCAATAATACCATAGTTACCTTTATACCTGTACTTCCATTTTTCTAGCCACTTATTGATATGAATAAAGACAGTAGAGATTTGGTGAAAAAAATTGGGAGGGGGGGGGGTCATCGCTGGATGAATGTGCCAATGTGGTATTTCAAACCCCATTACCTTGAACGATTGTATTTTTCACTACAGGAAGAGTTCAATGCCTATGGAGTAGACTGGAATGGACCTGTGCCTTCTCTTGAGTTTGGAAGTTTACTAGACAATGATGTGGAAGGAATAGAAGTGCCTGACATTATGGTTCCATTCTCACTGCAGACAGTGTCAACCACTTTGAATAGGATCAACCCATTGGGGAGAAGTAATAACTATGGCATAGATTTATATCAAATGGCATTGAGTTTGAAGAGAATTCACCAGTTGGCTGCGTGGTGTTTCTAATTAAAAACCCATTAATAGTAGAATATAACTAAGTAATGTAAGATCACAAAAACTGACTTGTTGCACTTAGCCTTAAATTAAATCCAAAAAAATGTCAGAACTTAGTATTTTGATTTCAAAAGAATGTTTCTTTGCCTTTTATTAGCAAGTGGAGGTACATTTGTATATTAATGTGTCTTTGATTCTCATTTCTTTCCACAGAGGTACTGTTATTTTTATCAATATTATTTGTAAGCAGAACAAGTTTCCAAAAGATAAATCTTTACTACAATAAAATTTTAATATTAAGACAACATTACAGATGTGTGAAAAGTTATGCCTAATGGAATCAACTGAATCATAACGTCTTTAAAAGGTGACTTATCAAACTACCCTAAAAACTCGCAGATAAGCCGCATGCCAAGTTTAGCAACTCAAATTTGGGAAAAAAATTTTTAAGACAAAAACTCAAAAGAAATCCAAAAGTCTAGTCTAAGAAGTCTTCTGTCTTCATCCAAGGTAAACTCGCCAACAATGAAACCATAATTTTGGCTCTTTAGTAGAACAAACATCATGTCCACCACTTATGACATATGATTGATATTATTCATTATTCTAGTATTTGTTAACAGGTATTATTTCTCCATTCAAGACAGTTTTTCCATAGAATTTTGCTGTTTTGTTGCGTGGACTGTTTGAAGCTTAGTGCTCAGGCATAATAACTGGACACCTGGTCACCTATGATTTTGATCGAAAATTTTTGCAAAAAAGGTGGGGCTTATCTGCCAGTCTTTACAGTACTTCTTTCCAATCAATAATTTATTATATTTTAAATAGCTTGTATTCATTATTCATTCTAACTTGTCTTGTAACTGACAAGCCTTTTAAGGGAGTTGAAATAAGGTATGTTTATACGAATGTAAATTCATATTAGGTATTCTGTAAACTATAAATAAAAACTTGTGAATGTTATTATGTTGCCAGGAAAAAGCCAATCTGGCTAAATCTAAATCTGTAAACGGCAGTATTGGCATTGGAAAACAACTAAAAAAACATTAACCCTTAATTTATGGGATATACTGAAAAACATTAATTAAATATAATAATAAAGCATGAGTAACTAAAGGAAGAGTTTTTTAGGCAAACCTCTCCTCTGTGCTTGACTTTTGGACCATTGGGGTATGTACATAATTATCCCTATCATCCCTCGACTCCTGTGGAATAAAAAAAGCACAGCCCTATCACTATGCATGTATATCGGTTTCTCTATTAGCTATAACTGAATGACTTTGACTCAAGTAACAATTCAACAATGGATCGTTGTATCTTACAAGTACTTCACTTATTCAAAACTTAAATTCAAGTGGAAATATATCAATTAAAAAAACCAATGAGTAGAGGAAAAAAGTTTCCATTCACCACAGGCTACAAATTAAAAAACTTGTGTGGGACACAACCCTGATATAACAATCTTAGATATCACGATATGCATTTTACATACACTAAATCTCTTTAGGTTTTGATTAAGACAAGAATACACTACAGGTACAAAAAATATGGTAAATATAGAGAATACTGTACTCATAAACCTAAGCGACACTAGATAGAAGAGTATCCATTTTACATGTTCATAAAGCAAATTTAATCTCACATTCCATCCATTACACACCTCACATCTGTCCCCTGTCTCCTTGGATGACCCTCCCTCACAGATCATCTGATGGTCTTGCCATAACGTCAGGGGCACATCATCTTTACAATTTATGCAAATTACCTTGGGGGCATTTTGCAAGTTACTAACAGCAGTGCTTTTCTGAATGTACAACAAATATAAAAATTAACACCAAAAAAAGATTCAACTTTATTCCCCTGATTTGAAAGACAATTGACCAAGTGATCCAGACTCACCACTTCACAATTAAACAGAGTTTCCTTGAAGCTAGGGGAGGGGGTTGACATGCAAAATTTTCATGTCTCAAGTTACATCCTGTATCTGGTTCTGACTGGCATAAAATAGGGCAGAATTCCATAATATTTCCATGTGTTCAAATAAGTCAAGGGGCTATTATTTGTCGAAGTTCTCTTGAAAGGAGATTACAGGCCTTCTAGTGCTGTTGTTAGATTCTGCAACTCTTAAGTTCCAATGTACAAAAACTAACCAACAAAAACTAACCTACCTGTACGGGAAGTGGACTACGATCTAAGTCTTTTTGCAGGGGCCGCACATAACCAATGGCCTGTCCAAGACAATCTTTAAGATACGGAATGTCGTAGCCCATGGTTGGAATGGGAATTAAATCTAGGCTTCGTCTCGCTCCAGAAGATCTTAACAATTGAAACCCTCCTCCTTCGCTTAGTTTTGGAAATTCTTTCAACAAAGAAGACTGCAACTGTTGGTAGCCTCCGTACTTTTCGAAAGTAATTTTTTTTCGCCGAGACCTGCTTCTTTTAAAATTACTTTCTCCTCTCTTGAAGGCACCGCCAACTGGTCTGATTCACACAGGCAGATAAACGTGTGAGTCCAGGTTTCCTTTGGTCTAAAACTTTTTTGGGCCCACTTGAGGAAGCACTTGGTCGAAATCGCTTAAAGGGTTGACGGAACTAACTTTACCGGCAGATGCGCCCTGACTGTAAAACGGAAAAAGACGCGCCATTTCTTGTAATTCTCCCCTTTCAGTAAAAGGGGCAGGAACTTGAACTGAAGCTGCAGATCGATGCGCTGGATGATCTGGATGTTGCGCTGGATCTGCATGATGCGCTGGATGTTGCGCTGGATCTGGATGATGCGCTGGATGTTGCGGATGATCTGTCGCCGTGCATGGTGCCCTCAAGATATCAACCGCTTCATTAAGCAATGTTAATGCACGTTGATAATGTTGTTTTCCGTCATCTTCAATTTCCTTCGACGCCATTTTTTTGCAAGAAAGGCGCGTAGGAGCGCGTCAGTCAGTGATCAGCGGTGCTTTTGCGGGCTCAGGTACAAGTGGGCTACAAGCGGTCAATCGATATTGAATCGATATTGAATAATTGAATGGCAACAAGCCATAATTCAATGAAGTTCGTAAAGTAAGAAATTGTATGACAAACAGATCAATTACTAAATGACCAGGGAGAATTTAATGGCAAAAAGCAGTAATTGAAAGATAGTTTCGAACACAATTGAATGTCAAGCAGTCATGATGAGATATAGTAATTGAATTACAACAAGACATAATTGAATGACAACCGGACATAAATGAATGACAAGAAGACATAATTGAATGACAAACGGACATAATTGAAAGACAAACCGACATAATTGAATGACAATAAGACATAATTGAATCTGCACAGTGAATAGTATTTTTGATATGAAAACTGCTTCATACGCCTCCTGCCCGTTAAAATGAGCACGTTTCACAACTTGCGCTTCTGCTACAATTAGATATCCGTTTCACGTATCAACCATTCAGATTAAACTGATTCCCTTATCCCACATCCCGCTAAACCTATGTAAATGAACAAATCCAAATTGCCACAACAAACAAATCCTTGCTTCCTGGAGCCTTTTTATCGAAAGTCCGGTAACTTTTCGGACCCGGAAAACTGTTTTGTATTTGTTGTGTTTTCATTCAAGACCAAAGTTTCAATAATTTTGAAAATAATACAATGAAACTATCGGCTAACGAAATAAAACTGAATGGTTTGCGGGCTAGGAACTGTGCCACTATTCAACGGGTTTTGGTTTTAAAAATTTGCCTTCGGGCCCAAAAGGTTTCCGGGTCTTTCGAGAAACGGGCCCATGGTTCCCTTACTGCATATCAACCAATCCAAATCATTGTAACAACAAACAAATCCTAGTGTTCTTTTTTCCTTATCCCGCCGCACCTCTTCTCACATCCCACCAAACCTGTAAATCAAAGCTTGCAACAAACAAATCTTTGCGTCGTTTCAAGTCAGTTGGACTGATAGCTCAGTAAGCTTAAGCTTTAAACTGTTTCTCAATTGATTGCAGCATGACAATAGGGTATTATTTAGTAGATGCATGGTCAAGCACCGAGAGTACGGGTAATCGTTCGGAAACGTATCGATTATGTTGCTGAGTGCCCTTGAGCCTTTCTCCTCAGCAGGGGCGCTCACTAAATAAAAGAAAACCTCAGGTAATTTTGGGTATAGCGAAAACATCTTCTCTTTCTTCCTCCAAAAGTCCCGTCTCCCTCACATCAATCAACGGAAGAGCTCCTGGGTACCGACTCTCACCGTACCATTTCCAAACGGTCTAGCGAATGCTGACTCCTGATTGGGCACAAAAAAGGCTTTATATTATTTTGCCCAATCGGCAAACAGCATCTTGAGTTCTTTTCGTATGTTCGTACACGACGGCTACTTTCTCGCCATACTTGTCTGGTTCGTTCATCAAGGTTGTGCATGCAAGGGAAACTTTCATTTTCTACTCTCCTAACCAGAAACGAAGGAACTACCGATGAGTCGGAAAACATTTCGGATGCTATCAGCAGGAGCGTTCCTCACCAGCTAATACACAATAATACAAAGCATTTTTGGTGCCCAATCAGGAGTTAGCATTCGCTTGACCGTGTGAGAGTCAGTACCCAGGGATTCTGGCGCCCGTGCTTGAAAAACTCTCGTCGCGCCTACTTTTCTCCCTGCTCGACTGACTGCCCCTGGTTCTCCGAGGATGACTCACGGCCGGTTTTGTCTCGTCACGAAAAGGAGCGTTGCGTGACGGGATAAATACGGAAGCGAGGGAGAGGAAAGTATCCCACGCACGCAACCGTCCTTTGTGTCACGCAACGCTTCTCCGATATAATCCGATATTTCACTCACCACAGGTTCCTGGTGGAACCAAGAGGTCGTGTCCACGGAAGAGATCGGAGCCCTCCTTTATGTCGTCACGCAACACTTCACATACCATGTTCCAAGATAGCCGAAGTACACAGGCAAATTAAGAAATTCCTCTGTGATCTGACCTGACGGATTATAAAAAAGGACCACGTGTGCATCCCTCCCAGCTAGTCCTATAACTTATAAAGACGGAGGAGGATCTCAAATTCATCCGTTCCAATGCCGAAGCTGAACAGGTCACATCGTGGAAAGGTAAGGCAGCCTGTGTACAGACGTCCCCCCTCCCTCAGGAAAAATCGGGAGAGGAGACGTCTGTGAATCACCGTCGTTAATCGTGTTCCGGTATACATTTGCATAAATTATTTTGTTCTTTCGGTAACAGTTGAAAAGGCACATGTAGGTCGAAAAATAGCTCTGGCGTCTGTGCACAGGCTAGCCGAACATCTTCACGCAATGTCCCGCCCAAAAATCCAGATATAAGATTTCTGATTACAGTCAAGCCAGGTGAAGCGTACCTCCGAAGATCCCAGTAATGTATTTATTATTCAAAAGTCGAACCGTTGGTAGTTGTAGATTTCAGATTCATCTCTGTGTGCTTTCTTGCAGCCGTGAAATCACAAGCGATACAGTTGCGAAATTTCTACCAGCTAAGTTTCCCTGAATTTGATGTAAATGTCTTCTAAAAGACATTTAATCCATTCAAAGATTTTCAATCTGACCAAATGCAGAGAAGTTCTCTTAAAATGTTCACTGCTCATTACGCATACAGGAATGCCGATTTAAATTTGGCACCAGTTACGGGAACGACTAACGGATTCATTTAATCAAATAATCAATTCATTAATATAATCTTTTTGGGGTAAGCTTGACCTACCTTGGCTGTTAATGTTGGATTTTGTATGCCTTCTCTTTTCATTATATTTACAATACCGACCAGTACAGACAGACGCACCCGCAACCGGTGCTGCAAACATCGTTGGTCTTAAATTCTCATGCCTTTTCGAGAGAGCTGAAATACAAATACCAGTAAACAAATTTGAATGTCCACAAAGGCTGAGCTTTTCCCCGGGGAATCGAGAGGTTCATTCACCAATCACAACACCGGAAATTATTTCCGTCATGGCATTAACATTACAACCAATCAGAGGCAGTCCCCAACATTCCGGAGAAACGGGAACACGATTATCGTCGGCGATTCACAGACGTCTCCTCTCCCGATTTTTCCTGACGGAGGGGGGGACTTCTGTACACAGGCTTAAGGTAAGGCTGACAGTCCACAGCCTTCGACCAATAACCACTCTTACTGCATGTCTAGGACCACAAAACCACAATATTTAAGAAACAAAGTTTTATTCGCCGTGAAAAATATACGTATTAAATTACTCCTTACTTTATTACAAAAATATATCAAATCTTTACGAAATTTAATTTCTTTAAAACAATAACGCATTGCAGCTTTGCTACTTCTTGTATTGCAAAGAAAAATATAATACTCTGAAAATTCTGTATTTACTACAATCGGTATCTTTAACCTTCAAAACTAAAAAGGCAGCACAAGATCCGTACTTTTCTTTGATCAACAATACTATAAAAATTATAGTACCTAAACGATTTAGAACAGAATGGGTGCCAGCCCAAGTTGAGCTATTCAAGAATTTTTTTTGACAGAAACACCTCAGTGTACGAGCTTGGAATTTCAGCTCGGTCACGTTACTAGGGCTCTTATTAAGGAGGAAATATATATAGACAACCAATACAAAGTTGAGGACAAAAAAAGCTGAAAAGAAAAGACAAGATTTTTAAACTAACCCTTTAAAATTTACTTAATTTGATTTCTTATAAGTACTTTTTATTTTCCCCGGCCTAAGTTTTGTTTGTCACTTGGATATGTTGACATGGTTCAATTTTCAGTATCCGTATTTCAAATTTTACCATCTTTTGTTTAACTCTCTAAAGCCCAAATACCTTTTTGGCAAAATTAAGAATCAGGATGGTATCGTTAATCTTCCTTTGTATTGAAGTTATTAATATAAATTAGGATATTTAGAACGAGAAAAAAATAATTTAAGCTCGGATAAAATTGAACCATATCATGGAACTACACTACTGTAGACAAGAAACACATCAAAATGTACGCTTGAAATGGATTTTCAGGAAATATATATCTAATTATTCAACCTGAACTACCATTTAATGATAAAATATGTATACTTTTAATCGAAAGAATTCATAATGCTCATTTATCCTATAATCATATGCGTCGTATATTAAATAAATTATTAAAATTATTTAATTATACTTTTACTAAATTACAGCACTGGTATTACACACCGCGCATGCATATATCAATATTATCTATCGCCATTATTTCATAGGCTGAAATGTCATACGTCTCCAACCCCTAACCCACGGGTTGGGGGTGGAGATGTATGACATTTCAGACTATATATTTCACTGTTATATTATTCAACTTCCGAAGCAAAGTTCATTGACATCTAAGTATCTTTGAAAAAGATGGTTTCTGAAATTTTCTCAGTTACAAGCACTTATGAACGTCTTCAACATGCATACAGTGCCGAATAATTACTCCCCATTAGCAACGGGACGGCGGAGATTTATGGAGGCTTGTTTCAAATATAGGAATATCTCAGACTCAAGCAGCGAAACAGATAAGAACGTTCGTCAAGATAATGGTCCGAAATTACGACATATCAAAAAACATGTCAAGTCATACAAAATTAAAGGCTTTTGGACATAATTAGGTCTATCTATAAGTGCCCGGCCTGCGTATGAACAGTCCAAGGATTAAAATAGTATAATATACAAAAACTATAGGGCCTACATTCGTGCTACTTGTAAGGCTTTTTAAGTTTGGCATCACACCTAGGCAGATTAACCTTGTGGTAATGCGATAATAATGCTTCTAGTTTATCAAACCGTGCTCCTTCGGGATCAAGAGCGTAGCCCAATTCCTGTGAACAAGACCATTTTGCAAAAAAGACGATTATATTTTACCTCTTACAGGCACAGCTTCCATTCGTCACTATAGAAACGAGAATGCACCTGGGCCAAGTGAACTTTCGCAAAGACTGATGGGACTGTTACTGGGAACGGGGAAAAAATTGGCCAATAGCTGACCGACGCCTCCCATCCCAGAAACAATTGCGGGACGCATTTCGGCTCCAGTACCCTTCTCGTTTCTAGAGTTGCGAATTCTTGCTTTGTGTAGTAATGACACAAGTCTAAGATACAAGCAAAGGGAGACGGAGATTTCATGGTGATCGTCAACTCAAGTGCTGGAAGCTAGTTGCAGGATTTATATAACTGAAACTAATTGGCAGCTTGTGTGGTAGGTGTTTGAGGAGGTAGACAATATTTGAAATCAAACACCAGAAAGCTCAGAAAAAATTCCAAGCTCAAAGTGAGACTCGACCTCACGACCCTTCGACTGTGTTCCAAGGAACTGTATCGGAGCCTGAGAAAACGGTCGACATTTCACGACGCGACCAACGGTTTTCCACAAAATGGAGCAAATTTTGAACCAATCAGAAGCACTATCCAGATCAGGGTAGTGCACGTCACCGTTCCTCAAACGTCATTCGTCCGTTGTGAGATGCGTCTGGGACTTGCTTAAAATCGACCATCCACCAGCGTACATTATCATTTGAAAGAAGAAGACATTAAACGCCAGAAAGCCCAGAGATTTACGCTGCCTGGTTCAAATATTAGGGAGCTTAAGCAACGACGACGGCGACGGCGACGGCAACGAGAACGGCAAAAAACCAATAGGTTTGGAATGGCAAAACAACAACTTTGAAACTTTTTTAATTTTTGTACATGTAGTCGTTCACGACAACGTTTTTCTTATTCATTTGAACTTTGATACAGTCATTTCGAATTCAACTCCAAAAAAATTGCCAACATTTGACGAATTAAACAAGGTGGAATAAGCGCGATTAGCGCGAGTTCACTTTTTTATTACCGATGTAATAAATTTTCTCGGGTTTTAGACTTACCAGCATGAAAGTTGAAGGAAAAGAAGGGGGCGGTTGTTAGACAAGTATAAACATGTCGCTCAAGAAACACTAGATGAAGGCGACACCTACCTTTTCATAAAATATCATGTAATGTCTGACTCGATCTCCAGTCCACACTGCCAAAGCCTAAATAAAAAAAAATAGTTTTGTTTTAACGTACGTACGATTTTTGGAAGTTGTGTTTTCACATTTTAGTGTAACGACAAAACCTCCCCAACTAACTTTCTGTCGGACCCATCAGGGTAGGAAAAGGCCACCTAAAACTTTCGAGGCAACCAAAGTTTACCTAGGACATCTGAACGGATAAATATATTTTATAATACTAGGGCCACTCAATAACCAAACAGGCTTCTAAAGCATAGAGACTCTGAAACACTTCTGATGTATTTGGACTTGGTGGTTGGGTGCCTCTGAGAAGTGAAAAGGAGTCTGGTTCCCAATAATTTTAACTGTTATTATTTTGAGAAAAATATCGGGTACTACAATTATGGATTACTGCGCTTGTTTTGATGTAATTGGAGAATGAAGTCACACTCAGCAAACAAAAAACCAGTTCCTGAGACGTTTGGCGGGCCAACGGAGATGGATGTTGGCATCATCTGATCAAAGCAACTGTGACGAGTACCCACATCATATTTACTGCAATGCTAGCATACGATGTTTCTGGTAAATCTGCAAGCAGCCAGCAGGCTGAAGGCAAGCCAGTTACAACAGAATTTAGTTTTGCTTGAAGAAATAAACACTGATCCTTACCCGCTTTGACTGTGCATTTTGACTTTCACGTAAAAGATAAACTCCTAATTTCTTTTCCAGTAGCCTATGGAAAAAAAAGTAAACGGAAGGACAAAAACGATGGTGAACAATGCGAGTTATTCCTTACAGTGTATCAAGGACCAACTCAACCAGACTTACCACAAATATACAGTCAACTCTATCCTAAAGGACACCTCGATAAGACAGATACCTCCCTAAAATGGACACCTAGAGATGGTCCCTGCCGTTGGCAAAAATCAAAGCTGGGTTAAGATAACCCAGGGTTAGTGCAAAATTTGAGTTCAAATTAATATGACAGCTTATAAAGTAAATTCAGTTTAATTATTCTTTTTGTCAACAAGTTGATGATTCGATGCTCTATTGAATATCAGAGAAACAAGTTGATGATTCGATGCTCTATTGAATATCAGAGAAAATTTTCCGAGAAAATGCTTTTGAACAAAAGAAAAAGAAACCCGGGTTAAAATTAACCCTGGGTTAAGTGCTAATCGGCCTTCCAACAACTGGGCCCGGGAGTTGGTACCTTCATTTTCCAGTAATTTTCTTTTGTTTGGTGAGTCAGACACCTTCACCTTGTGCAGATCAGAAAGAGTTTGAAAGTATTGAAGTGGCTTGCGTAGGGCTGGACATTATTTTTATATATGTTTCCAATATAATGACATGTTATTTTCAGGTTTCTTTCCTCGACCTGAATTCTACAAAAATTAGCATTTATCATTGGTACTCAGACAAATCAAGGATTTCTTCTTACTCGCTAACAGCTGTCTTGTCCAAGTTCAGTTTCACAGCAGAGTCTGGAAGTACATTCTATAAAAGTTCCAGGGAGAATTATGAACAATTTAAAAGCAATTATTGTTTCATCATTCAGCCGGCCATAGAGTATGAATATTTGAGGGATTTAGGTCACTGTCCATTGGCTACACAGGCTGTCCAAAAGCTAGAGACATGGTCAAGTCAAGAAGACCTGCCAGGTAGGAGTTTCAATAACTTTTTCCATAAAGAGCTGCCGAAGTTTGAATAGTCGGCTTTGATTAGGAAAAGGGCTAAATAAGAGGCCTCTTTTCACTAAAACCTCCCATAACAGACAGTGGTAAGAGGCCACGTAGCTGATGGGGGACTGGCTGGACTATGTGGGTAACCGGCTTTTGTTAATGAACCCAGCTGTTGGGTGTGTATTGTAAGTTGTCCATCAAAGAGAGATAGAGAAGCTGATGTTTGAATTAGCTCTGTTGAAAGGCTAGCAGTCAATACTTCAGCTTCTCTATCTCTCGTTACCAGTAAAGACAGAAATCGATTTTCACTGCTGTAAACAGCTGTAATAATGTAACCATCAGGTAACTGTGCTGAAATACTAAATAGTTACAATATGTAGTGATACCCCTCACAGTTTAAATAAAGACAGTCATGTGCTGCAGGTCAACACCACAAAAATAGTTATATTTCACACCATGTTTACCTCAGAGCTGTGACGGCGAAAACTTTTTCCATCTGGGTATCCTCTGCAATGGCAAAAAATGATGTACATGTAAGACAATAAATTTTAATTGCTCGCAAAAGGAGGTACTATGGGAGATACACTGTAAGACAAAAGGAAGTAAGACAAAAAGAAAAAGGAAAGAAAGGGGAAAAGAAAGGAAGGAAGAAAGGGAAAGAAGAAGAAGGGAAAATGAGAAATTAAAGAAAAAGCATAAAACAAGGGGAAAAGTAAAGGAGGTCCAAATGAAGAAGAATTGAAAAAAAGAATGTAATGTAAAGACTACGAAAGGACAAAGGCAAAGGAAGAAAGGTTCAAGAATGGTAACAAAGAGAAAAGGTGGAATTGAGTGTGTGAAGAAGTAATTGGAAAGGAAGAAAGGAAGGAAGCCAGAGAGAAAAGGAAACGAAGGATAAAGGGGTAGGAAATGATGAAGAGGGGCACAGACAGTGTAAGGCCCAGCTAATACAAAGGATTGAGTTTGCAGGGATATAAGGAGGAAAGAAGCTGTCATTTCTAGTGTACTATTAGAAACGGAACAATATTATAAACTTAACAAGTCCCTTACTGGACAGACCTTGAAAGGCTCGACTTTTTCTCTTCATCAAATAAATCTTCTGGGGTGGTGTCTGGAACAATATCTAGGTAACCTTCATTGATTTCCTCGTCATCTTCGCCTATCAGTTAAAGAAAAAAAAAACGTTTTTATTATTTTTTATAACTGTATTAATGGTAACTAACAGAAGTTCTATCATGAAGATAGTACACAAAAAAAAATGACATTTACAAAATGAAAGAACCACAAACTAGGTATTTGAATCATACCTTCAAAAGCATCCGTGTAGTTTGGAATTGGTTGTGGAACACGCTTTTCAAGAGATGGTGGGCGTGGCAAAGGTTTAGGTTTAGGTTTAGGTTTAGGCAAAGGTTTGGCTGATGTCGCTGCAGGATTTCCAATCGTTGGCTTTTTAACCCTTGATGGTACTGCAGGGGCACCCTTTGTTGGTAAAACAGGGCTTGCTCCTGGTGGCCGTGATCTAACTGGTTTTAATGACAAAGGATTGTCCACTGGTACTGTATCAGATATGTGATATGGTAACACAGTTGGTGTTCTGGGTAATAAGTGCGGTGGCCTTTTCTTAATGTCTCGTTGATCTATTTCAGGGGGAGGGCAGTACATTGGCCCTGAATCAGCACATCGTCTTGGAAGGCTAGGTGATGGTCTTCCAAATAAAGCAGCAACTTCTTCTGGGTCAAATTTTGGCTCTACTTCTGGATAGCAATATTCAAGTCCATCCTCAAACTCTTCTTTTTCAGCTCTGTGTTAGTTTAAAGATGCTAAGTCAAAATAGTGGAAAATATTTTGCCTGGGTGTTATTGCTAAATGCATCAATGGCTAATAAAAAAAAATCTCTTATTAAAAAATATTAAAAGAAATAATAATTAAGTCATGTACTAAATAAAAAAAATAATACTAATAATTAAGTCATATACTAAATAAAAAAATTCTCTTATAAAAAAATATTAAAAGAAATAATAATTAAGTCATGTACTAAATAAGAACTGGAATAATCTTTCATTTGATAGGCAACACAGGATTGTGTCATTTTAATAGACACTTTGAACCATGATTAAACAGTCAAACATGTTGGTTGACAGTTACTGACAAAATAATAAATGATAAGCGAGCTCCCATTACAGATAAGCCATACCCAGCAATAACAATGGAGGTCAACTACCTTAGTTAATATTAAAGCTTTTAACTTTTTTCCACAAAATCAAATAAATAGACAGAATGTGTTTGATTCACAATGAATCATGACTTACGTGTCTTTTTTTCCATTACCGCAGTAGTCTTCCATCTCCTTAGTTATATGCTCCATCCATTCCTGGTAGAAAAACATAATGGCTTTGTACAGAATATTTCCGGGACGTTTATATGATAATGCCCTGTATCAACTAACACTAAAGCTCCGCAAACAATAACAATTATTGGAAATGAGTCCTGCAAAGATACAGTGGTTTCAAGAACTGGTAGGAAATATTGGATTGGAAAAAGTTATGACACATCAGTTGATTATTATACCTGAGTTGGTTAAATTGTACGTCCTCTGTCAGCATCAACAAGAGAACATTTAAGCTTGAGTGCCAAAAGTGTTCACATACCCAAAAAAATGTACCAAATCAATGCTCGTGTTCAGGTTACTAAGATATCACTTACATTCATTTCCCTTTCAGAATATGCTGAAAAGTAATATGTTCTCTTTTCTGGTTGTATGTGGGCTAATTTAAACGTCCACCCGTATTTTGAGCTTCTCTCGGGAGCAGGTGACAGCCTACAATGTACATAAAAGAAGGAACAATAGATTTAACCCATATTACTGATTGAAAATCTTGGAGGTTAGTAGAGTCAGTGAAAGTGTGCACTGTATCTAGCTGCAATGTCGCATTACATGTTTTCTCATTGTAAACTGTACCTGTATCCACCAAGTGAAAACTTTCCAGCAGTTGATGATGCATTAGCATCTTTGTAATAGTACAGGCAACCTTTGTGTAAAATGGCATATCTGTCATGCCCTGCAAAGGTATATTATTATGAGAAACAAATGCAAAAAAATAAAAAGTAAACTAAAGAGAGTTAACAAGGAATGATTTTGTGTTCACTATTATATAAGCTACTTCACCCTATAACCAATTTAAATAATGGACTGAGTGTAAGAGGTCTTGAGGAAACCCATGGCCCTATGAAAACACTGCTAGTTTAAATAGTCAAGTATTAAAATAAAAAATTCAGTTATTTAAAAAAAGAAATTGGTGCACGATATGTCACCTGTGGTCAACAAAGACATCCAAACACAAGCATATAAAAATTTGTATACTTTAGAGAAATATCTAATTCATTAAATTAGTATGTGTAATCAAATGGTGACGAGTGAAATTAGGGAATAATTTCACGCGCCGTTTGTCCAAATCCTAATAATTTCCCTAATTTGGACAAAACGCAAGTGAAATTTTTCCTAATTTCACGAGTATACCATTTGATTACTTATTAATGTCACGGGTGACGAATTATGTTAGCATTCTTGGATTTTTGACATGTTTATCCTGGATCATATCGATCAAGAACTCCACTCTCTCAAATGTTTAGACCTTAAATTTGGCTTCTAAAGTTCAGAATTTTTCAGACTATTTCGGCAAAATATCTGTTAGAATCCTTCTTGACGTTCTCTTGTGTGTTCAGGTTTTCTAAAGCATCTTTTTGTGCCCTGACATCTTCATTCACGGCATTTTAAAACTTTGTCGCCATCTTGACACTGAGACGTACAGAAGGTTGCCATGGCAATTTTGTAATTTCACATGTGAAATTACAAATTAGTGTAGGTAATAGAATGATTTGTAGTGACATTTGGCATAAATACCACCAGTGATATTTCAAAATATTATTGTTAGAGACAATTTTGAAATATCACGAGTGGTATTTATGCTAAATATCACATTCAAATCATGCTATTATTTGTTTATACTACTAGCCGCAAAAGGTTGTAATTTTCATATGTAGGTATTTCAATTTACGCTGAAATACCACTGCTCTAAGCCAATCAAATTGCAGCAATTTTCTCATGTAGTAGTATAAAAGCTGCAATTTCGCACCAAAATTAAGGAGTAATTCATCACCTATGATATTAGCAGATTTATTTAAGCATGTTTCAATTATTAAAAATAAGGAAGATTCTGATAATGTAAGTTTGAATTAACCTTACATGTCTTAAAGTTGTTGCCCTCTTTTCTAATCCAGCCACTGAAGCCACAGTTGTCTTTAAGCAAATCTTGAGCAGGAATTGACTGGTATGGTTCAGGAACTAACGGCTGATGTGGTTCTGTAAATGATCTTTCTCTATCTGTCCCGACTTGAGCTAAGTTAATGGTCGGCGATGGAGCAGTACCTGTGCGATGAAAGGTGTGGGGCTTCATAGTTCTATGACCTACCTCATAGCGTATCTGAAAAATGTAAATTCAGTTATGGACCACAAAGTTATAATTAGGTCAAAACAGTGGGATAACGGTTTAATACTACTAGAGTAGATCTGTGAGACAGAGATACATACCTGTAAAGCCAAACAAATGGGCTGGGGGAGAATTCTGGGGTCAGGAGAGCAAACATCTGTGATTTATTAGAATACATACACAGCTATTTCGAGAAAGGTTGTCAGAAAAAGTGCACAAAACAATCCCAAAAGGTATTGCGGGTGATTTTGAGTTCACTATTTTTTCAATGAAATTTGAAAGAATGGCACAAAAGGCCATGGACATACATTTGCAAGTGCTAAAGGAACGCAACAAAAGTAGCTTTGACAGCAACAGTGTTAGGAACAGTGTATTGATCATGTCACATATTACCTCTCGGGATTGTCACATGCACATTTTTTCCGACAACCTTTCTCAAAATAGCTGTATATTGTAGGAATGTCCTACCAACAGGGAATAACTTTTATCATCACCATCATTTTCATCTTCACTGATCGTCACTGTCATCATCATCATCGTCATTATTAACAGAAATCAATAATCTCTACAACTGTAACTAAAATCATATTTTTTTTACATAATCAGGACACTTTTTTAAGTGGAGGGATGATAAGCATTAGAACTCCAACCTGGAGTACTAGGCACTGTTCTCCTGTCTTACTACTTCTAACTGGACCTAACCTCTGCCATTATAGCTGTGGGAACTCTACAACACACAAACTACATGACCACCTAACAAAGTGACATTTTTTGCCCAAAAACGATTAGGTGATGAATTTTCAACCTGCTTTAAAGTGAGCTGTGTCTTGAACCATAAACAGAACTTAGCTACACAGAACCTAAGTGTCCTAAGACAACACAGCAAAACAATTTGATGACAAGTCCTTTGTCTCTAGTACTGAAAGTTCTAAGAGAACTTTGTTGGTGGATACTGTCATGTATTTACTTATTATTTCAAATCATCATTTATGTTCATTTAAAAAAAAAAAAACCTAATAGTCCAGTTTCGAGTTCGCTATGACCGCTGCATCAAAGAAGTGAAGATGCATTTTTTACAGGCTTAGTCTCCATCTGAAGTAATATATTGACAAATTCCATCGAGAAAAAGACCTGTAATTTCTGTCTTTAGTGTACATTCAAATTTCAAACACTTACTTGACAGAGTTTCTGAATATTTTACTTTATGTCAAGGCTAACCCTGTATGAATGTGTTGTTAATGTTTGTATTCAGAGGTAATTTTTAATTCGAAACTGGTCTATTCTGACTGGATTAAACCTCACACAGCTATTTTTTTGTAACCAGCAAACATTAACCAAATTTGGAAGATGTTGATCATTTGAGATTTTTTTTAGTTGTAGTAAAACCACCAAAAAATTTGTTGATGTATACGTATGCAATACATTATTGTTCTTGTTTTGTTGGGTCCAATATTATTTTGGTTTTTGGCTAATTCTTTATAACCAGCTAACACTGACCAAATTTGGAAGAAGTTTGCCTCTATACATAAATACAATTAAGAGGGATTTTTTTTTTTGTGGTGGAACAATAATACAAATATTTAATACTCAGATTTCACCCCTAGAGACACAGTACTGACACTTACTAGGCAATGCAAGGAAACAAGGCAAACTGGTGAAACTGGCCGAAAGAAAAAAAAGATATGCCCACTGAAAATTGCCTTTGTTTGTGTTCCTCTAAAAATAGACAAATATTAAATTATTCAAACCAGATACAAATTTAAAAGTTAACTGGAGTCACATGCAGGAGCAATTAACTATTATTGTTACTCAAGTGTGTATTTAAACAGTGAATTAAGCTTACATGTAGTAAATGACAGTTCAACGAAACGAAATTGCCATTATTCACAGCTATTACGACAGCTCTGGAGTCAGTCAATATCAACAAGTGACTAGATAACAGAACTACAGAAAATCAATATTATATTATCTTGCTGAGGAGAACCAATCGCAGTTGACAAATGAAATCATTTCACAGTTGCACTGTGAAACAATTCAGGCTTTATAACACAAACAAGGCACAACGCCACAGAATGGAACCGAACGAAGCTCAATAAAAACATGCCTATGCACAAACTAGACCCTCATGACGAATATTAAAGCAAAACATTTCCTTTTAATACATGTTGATAAAGAGACTGACTGGACGTTGAGCAATTTTGATAACACAAATTAAAAACAAAGCAGTTTAGGTTCTATCTAGATCACGGAAAGAGTAATTGTAAGTCGATTACGAGTAATAAAACCATTCACGCTTTTCACAGTTCATTTTGGGAGCAAAGACTCAGACTATAACGATTGCACTTACTTTGGTAGAGATGTTGTCTCGTTCAGCTGAGTACAGAAACCTGTAGTTTTATACGATTACTTAGAGTGAACTTCGCTAAAGGAAAGGTTACAACGGAGAGAAATTCCGTCCTCGATGCATCGTTTCAGCACAGTTAACCTGCTGATTTGCAAATGAAGATCGGGGCGTATATTGAGGTAGCAATTGTCGCATTTCCGTATAAATTTTGTCGCATGATCAATATTCTGCTTGACGAAGAAGAGGGAAACTGGCGCTGCCTTCCGCTCGTTCTGCGTTCTGGGAATATTGGGAAAGAAAATCACGTGTTTGACAATACTTAGAGGGAGGGAAGGGGAGGGAGATGCAGGTGAACCTCCCCCACAACGGCTACAAAGTCCCACAGAAAGTGGCCGTTGCATAGAGTTTTAAAGAGGAGTCCATGTATGGACTGTCCGCCCCAAAAAAGTGGCCGTACGTGGAGTAGCCTGCGTAGCAAACGAGTCAGTTACGCTAAAGTTAGAGCGAGGGCAAAAAAAATTGAAGGGGGTGGGGGAAGGGAGAAGTTAATTTAGAAAATCTTCGCACCCAAACCAGTCTCTCGAAAGATCCTCAGCTTGTTTTCGCTCGATCTCTTTTTTCTTTATTATATACATGTTGCTTTTTTGCAGAGAGAAGCAGCATGAGTAGTCTATTACATAACGTCCATTACATAGTTCATCATCCATGCGATATATTAAAGTCCTGAGACAGAATCTGTTCACGGACGTACCGCCACTCGTTGCAAATTTTTAAAGACTGACAGCATAAGGCGACAAGAAAGTCTGACTCGAAAGGCAATTTAACTATAATGCTTTTTCCCAAAATTTTGGTTATAAAATGTGAAAAACACAACCTCCGAAAATCGTAAGAAAGTCCGTGTAGAAAGATTCCGAATATCATGAAACGGTTATCCAGAAATCTGTAGCTTTTTTCGCGAACTTAGGATTTTTTTCTTTTGCAATTAGCTCTTCTACTATTTATTTCAGTGGTTTGCATTTTAGTTTAGGCTCAAACCACGCGATTTTTTCATTTATTTATCTGTTTTTAAGAATACGTGCTCATGTTCAGTTAACGGGTGATTAAACAAGACCGCCAATTGAGAGTGATTATTAAATAGACCGAACGCAGACGGCACGAATTTGTGTTAACTGATAATTGCAACTAAAATAGACTATGAGATAGTTATATTGTGGTAATTTTTTTTCAATATAGGTACCTCTGGAGAGTATTAAATATTAACCGACAAAAAAAAACATGCAATAAAGAACACCAAAAAAATATGAGATGATTATATGGGATAAACTCATTTTTAGCTCATGGATGACGTAGTCATGCCATGGGCTTTTGTTGGAGGCACTCGAATGGCACTCGATCACTCACTCACTCACTCACTCACTCACTCACTCACTCACTCACTCACTCACTCACTCGATTCTCATTAATTTATTCATTAAAGTCAGATTAAACACTTTACCCTTACCTCCCTTACTTAGTATTACTTTTGTTCCAAGTGCCTTTTACGCATATGTTTGGCATATTCTAGAGGGTACTAGTAAGGCGCCATTTTTTCTTGACACGGTCCAATCTCCGAAAAACGCGACAATCTCACTACTGAGTTATAGTAGCGTAAGGAACTGGGCGGTTTTCATAGACTCAAAGCCTTCAGGGTCGGCCAGGGTTTGGGGGTATACAGTATATTGGGGTATTTAATGTCAGGTATACAGTATTTTTATGCCTAAAATTGGGTATAAAGTATTACGTTTTCTTTTTTTGGAATTTTGGTATAGAGTATATTAGATCTGAAAGATCAATATCATCCAATACGAAATTAAATCTCGTTTAAAATCTGGACGGGCAACCATATTTCAGCTGGAGTTTTTCAGACTCCCCTGACTGCCTTTGTGTGTCGTGCCCGTGAGTAAAACAACTGCAGTTATCTATAAATACAATCGAATATACAAAATTTCCGAATGTGACCACCTCCGATGTCAGTGACTACCTCCCAGAAGCGCGATTATTTATCGATAAAACCAAAATTTTCCCAGTCAAGTCAATACACTTGGAACCTCTTGCAATCGACTGCAATCACCTTTTTGGATGACGGTTTTAGAGTTTTTCAGGAGCCGATTAATCGGCTCCTGAATTTTTTAAGAATGTTTTTATCTCCCTGTAAGCGACTGCTTAAGGCCTAGTTTTCATCTCTATGTTCGCTCTATGTATTACACTACTCAGAGTAGGATAACTTTTCGTGACGAGATGAAACTATACATATCCTATACTGATTATAAATTGCAGGCAATGAATTCTTCTCAAAAGTGTAGGTGTGTTCGGACCGCTTTTAGGAAAAGGATCCCAGTGGTTCGATTCTCCTAGGCCACCATTAACTCATTATGGGTGATGCTTATCACAAAGAAAGTGAAAGTTCTGGCATAGAAAGTATCATACATCCAAAAGGAACATGAGAAGCATTTCCTCGAAGAAATATACGCACAGATGTACCAGCAAGTACATTCTATCTAGGCAAACTGGTGGAAGATGATGACAGTTATCCCTGTAATAACCAAATGGCTTAGTCAGGACCTTGGGATCCATTTTTTTCTGTCACAACTGAACTCACCGTTTTCTAAAGATTGATGGCATGACTGGCACAATTACAGGCATAAACTTTTAATGCATCCTTGCTTTCGTCAGAGGACATTGTTCTCACACTTAGTGGGGAGTAGCCATTTCCAGTAGCCGGGCTTAGGATATGAGCCTGTATACAACAGCCCCCCACTTTTCAAAAAAGTCGATCTCTCTACTTCTTTTTTAGGGGAGGGGGCTTCTGAACACAGGCTAGTAGGCCCCGAGGAGAAGGAGAAGAGTGACTGCATCAACCTACTATCATTTCTCTAAGAGCAGCCATTATCAGCTGAAACCAGCAGTAATTGAGAGGAAAATAAAAAGGAATGGTCTGTTTAGATGAAAATTGATTGCAGTCTCGAACCCCCAAACATGGCTAGTTAAATCGCAGGTGTTGGAGTGCTAAAACCTAGGCCTCGTACTCCTTACTCCGCTTACGAATAATGCTGGGCATAAAGTATACCATGGTTTTTCTAATTTCGGTATTTTACACGAGTTTTAGTTTATTTTGGGATATACGTATTGGAAGATATATTTCGGGTATTTTGGTACTCCA